GATGGTCAAAAACAATGAATGACTTGACATCTGTACGATTTTCACAGAAGGCATGGTCGGGACAATAGCCATGGTATTATTGCTACTACACTCGCCATCCCCGATACGTCATGCGTCTACGAAACTTTCTTGCACATACATATTCTGTTAGTTTTTCTGGCTATTGGAGGAATTTATATGCATCTTTCTATTGATCAGCTGCCCCAGCTACCATGGTTAAAGTGCATTATGGCCTTCTGGATAACGGAGAGATCCCTTCGCTTCCTCCGGCTGATTTACCTGAATATTGCCCACCGCCATGGAATTACTCGGGTCATGGTCGAGGCACTTCCTGGAGAGGCCAGTCGTGTAACATTCTTTCTCCCACGAAACACCCATATACACCCCGGCAGCCACGTCTACGCTTACCTACCCCGAATCTCCCTCTGGATGTCGCATCCCTTTTCCGTCGCTTGGACAGAGAACGGCAAATACCCCAGGCCACTAGCCAGTTCAAGTCGCACGTCGCCACAAAAGCTCCCATCCTTTCAAAAACACGAGTCCGACATCGACAACGCTACGAATTACAGTTCAAAACCAACAAACGTCACCCTAGTCATGGCCGCCCGCACAGGGATGACGCGGAAGCTCTACGAGAAGGCCCTGGCTTCACCCGATAACACATTTTTCACCACTGGCTTCATAGAGGGACCCTACAGGTCTCACTCATCCACATTCTTCGGGAGCTACGGCACCGTCGTGCTCTTCTCAGGCGGCGCAGGCATAACCCACCATATGATGCAAGTACGCGAACTGCTAGAAAGTGCAGATGCCGGCACCATCGCAACGCGTCGCATCCATCTAATCTGGTCAGTGCGGACAACCGAACAGCTCACGTGGGTGAGCGGGTTCATGGACTATATCCTCCAGCTGCCCAAGAGGCGGGAAATGCTAGTGACGAAGCTCTTTATCAGCAAGCCGCGGAGCCATAAGGACATCCGGAGTCCGAGTGGGACGCTGCTGATGTTCGAGGGCCGGTGTCGACCAGATGTCATCATTGACGAAGCCATGGAGAAACATGTGGGTGCGACGGCGGTGTCTGTGTGTGGGCCTGGAGCGTTTGCGGACGAGGTGCGCGCGGCTGTTCGGAAGCGAGTAGGCAGCGGGCCTGTGATTGATTTTGTTGAGGAGGCTTTTACCTGGTGATTCCATCCATTCACATATATAACTTGAGGAGGATCTGGGGAGGACATCCAACATACAACATCCATCAACATCCCAAAATACTCTTTGTATTGTGTCCATTTACTTGTTTGATAGAGGGTGTTTCTTTTCTCTTGTTTTTTTTTTTTTTTTTTTTTTTTTTTTTCATGCTAGGGCACAGGAGCATTAACTGTCCTACCTTTCATTCCGTTTTCCTCTCTCCGGTTCTTTTCTCTCCCTTGTGGACGTTCGATCATGTCATTATCCATCCTTCCCCAGAAGGTTTCCATGTAATGCGTACATATTACTTGATGACTTTCGAAGGTATTCAAACCTCCTTTGACCTTCAATCCTCTCCCTCTCTCTCATTGCCCTGCACAAATTCCCGCCAACATTTCGTCCACTCAACTAGCCAGCACCTTGTATGCAACCATCTCATCAATTTTCGTTTCTTTTCGATTTCAATTTCCTTTTTCTTTTTTAATCTTCCAAGGTTTCTCTTCCATTTCCATTTTCCCATCTCTTCTCCTCTCAAATATTCCATTTCTGGCTATTTTCTTTAATTTCCTTTTTCCCTTTTCTTCCTATATTTTGTGTGCCATATTTTCTGTCACGCCATGCTGCACATACCTCGGTTCCTCCTCTCTACCACTCTTCCTTGGAGGTTTTCTCGCCTCCCCCGTTTTTATTTCTTTTTTATTTTTTTTTTTCTAAAAAAAACAAATTCCCTTTCACGTGCGTACATACATTTTACATGGGATACATGACATAGCATAGCATATACCTGCACATAGATACAGCATAAATTTTTAAGTACATATTTTAGAACTACAGGAATTGGCTTCTCCTTTGGCTTTGACTCCTTTGCTATACATATACCATTTCTCTCCGTTCCCGGGCTGCTACTTCTCTGGTGGGGCGGGGGAGGAAGAAGATTTAAGAAGTGGAGAGATATTGTTTTACATACCACATTTAAATAGAAACTTGCTGAAACGGCATGGCCTATGTATAGAATAGCAGGATTTGAAGAGGTTCGGGCGAGCTGTAGGGGGGAAGAGGAAAGAAAGGGCATTAAAAAAAAAATAGAATAGAACAGAATAAAATATATAAAAAGAAAAAATGAGGAGGGATGATACCCTCGGGGAGATAAGCAAATAGTTATCATCAAAAAATTAGTACACTGCACAATGATTCTTTAAGTCTCCATACCTGGGAGAGGGGGAGAAGGTCCGTAAGAACGTGTATAACTAACATCTATATCCATATATATATTTATTGATATAGTATGTTCAAAAAATAGACACCTAGACACAACAGATGGACCAACAACCTTAGAATAAGAAGAAAGATAGAGGTAAAGGAAATTAAAAAATTGTTTAGCATTTGCCTATCGTCAAGAGCGGTTTTTCAACTTGCGCAAAAGTGATAAAGAAAGATGATCCAAAGTCACCTTGAGTATGTAAGGTATGAAGAAAAAGAGAAGAATAAAAATCGTGTACAACAAAAGACCAACACAATCTTGATTTGAATCACATCGTAAGGGCAAAATACAAAAGCCAGCTCTCGCAGTGCTCTACAGTACATGACACCCGGACGAAGTACAGAGATCCAATAAATAAAAGGTAATGTTAAAAAAGAAAAAAAAATTAAAAAATTAAAAAATTAAAAAATTAAAAAGAAAGAAAAAGGCCCAAAAGCAGAAGGCTAACAGCACAAGGCAAACCATGAACAGACAAGGCGATAGAGGATATATAATATAAAAGCAGCGCAAAGAAAAACAAAAAGCGATTGCAAACAGAAGCGGGTGCGATTCGTCATTAGGATAAGGGGAAAAAAAAAACAAAGACCATTTCCATCCATCATCCATCGTCCGTCATTTGATATACCTTCATTCCAGATTCGACGGCTACCACCAACTATACAATCCAGCTTTTCAACCTCCAACCCTCCGCCTTTAATCTCCGTCCGCCCATTTTCCATCTCCCTTTCTCACCTCGCCTTCTCACCTCCCCACACCGCCCTTGTAAGCTTCTCTGTCTCTCCCGCCTCCCGCCTCCCTTAACCCCCCAAGCCCCGACCCCCAGTCCCCGTCTCAATCGCCGCTCCTGGCATATTCCCATCAACCATCACATTCCGCGCGTCAGGATAGTACGTGCTACTCGTCATTGGTGTGGTATCTTCATCTGTATTTCCATCCGCAGCTGGACCGGCAGCTGGACCGCGGTGTCTGGCCAACGTCGTCGTTGTGGTCGCTGTAGAATGATTGCTATTGGCATTATCGTCGGGGAAAGGCGTGCTGTATGTATCCGCGAAGGGGTTCTCGACCTGGAATTCGCTGGAGTTGTACTGGTAGGAAGAGGAGGTGAATTCGTCGTTGCTGTTGTGGAGTGCGTGACTGGTTAGGGCTGTGGTGCGGGAGGGGGAGGTCAGGTTGTTATTCCGGTTTTGGTTATTTGAGAGGGGGAATGAGGGTGGGGTGGTAGCTAGTGGGGAGACAGCGGATTGGAGGGGTGGGGTTTGCGAAGTCGAGGTCGAGGTCGGGGTCGGGTTCGGGTTTGGGTTTGAGTGGTTGGTGTTTTCCGAGGCAGTTCGTGGGGGATGGGCAGGGTGTTGTTGGTGCGGTGGGTCTTGGTGGTCTCCTGGCTGCTGCGGCTTGTCTCCACGGAATTTGCTCAACGCTTTGCGCGGGATGGAGAGGAGAGGGACGGAGCGCTTAGCCGCGCTCGGAACTTCGAAGTTCTGTAGAGCCTGCCCGGCCTGATAAAGAGGCTGCTGTTGTGGTGCTGCCAACGGTGGCAAAGCAGGGGGAACCGCTTCTTGAGAATCTGTTCTACTGGCGTTCCTTCTGGCAACGACCGCAGCACGCTGGTATTTCGAGAACGCGGCGGAGAGTCTATCGTTTGTCTCTATTAGAGTGAGCATCGTATCTTCGTCCGGCGAGGGATTCGTCGCGTTCATGTATCCCTGGATAGATTTGGCGGCAGCTTGGCACCGTGCGGAGAATTCCTTTAGGAGGTCATTCGAGTAGAATTCCGCTGTTGGCGTCGACTGCACGAACTGGAGAAGCAAAGACGCGGAGATGTTTGCTTCTGTTATCCTGGCGGAGAGCTCTTCGGGTGTGGGTAGGCCGCTAGAGCGATGCGAGCGCGCAAAGTAATCATCCCGTTGTCCCGGAATAAGTGGCTGAACCCATGGTCCCTATTAACTCGCCATTAGTACCAATGGTGCAATTCGTTGTAATTTCTGCATTGGGGCCCCGAGGAAGGCGGGGAGAGGGAAAAAAGTGCGGGAGAAATTTATATCCTTACAGCGCTAACACCCATAGCCTTCTCAAACTTCAGCTTCTCCTTCTTCCACATTTCCACCAGCGGTGCCACATTCGTGTCATGACTTTTTTGTACAGCGAGAAACTCAAGCGTCTCTCGCAGGATCTGCTGTACGCTCATATCCCGCCCTTCGCGTAACAAATTTTTAGCTATCGATACGAATTTGCTATCGAAGTTGCGCGTGAAGGTCGTGCCGGGGTTGTCAGACAGGATGCGGATGAGCATGATGGCATTGTACTGCTTGTAGCCCTTTTTGCTAGCTGGGTTGGAAAGTACTCGGCTGATAGTGTCCGCAGCGGCCTTCGCCGCAGCAGGGCTTGATTCCGCCGCTTCGACGATGGCGGGTAAGTGTAGGTATTCATCTCCCTAATTGGTGTGGAAGAAAAAATACGAGGAATAGGGTTGTTAGCCGCGCGGAGGCAAAGCAATCGATAAGAAATGGCTGGAGGTGACAAAAGGGAGTGGGGACAATTTAAAGGGGGGAGGGGAAGGGACGTCCGCATACTGTATTGTTTGGGCCTCCGGATTCGCAGAAGGAAGTCTGTCGTATTATTATTATTATTATTATTATTATTATTATTAGTGGATGTTTCTCTTATTTTGTATTTTGGTTTTTGACAATAGAGTACGTACAAGCTCAACCAATATGATAGCTTCTGGAGAGTCTGGTGGGTGGGAGGAAGCGCGAAACGCGGATTGAGCTGAACGAAAAAGCAGTTGCAAAGGCGTCAGTGTGGATCTCATGGTGAATATGAACTCTGGCCGACTAGATGATGTGCCAGATAAAGATTTGTCTCCAGAGATGGATGGGAGGTGTGCGCAGGATGTAGGTGGACTCACAAGTATGTTTATTTATAGAGCCCACAAACCGCTTCATGGCTGATGGTGATGCTGGGTTCGCGGAACCTTTCTGGCGATGAGTTATGTAGCCAGAAGACGAGTAACGGACGAATTAACGAGAGCGACGACGGGCACCAGTCAGACGGAGGCAGAGAGGCAGAGGATGTACTGTGGAGGTCGGTCGACGACGTGCAGACGAGGCCGTCAGCGACACACCAGGGCAACCAGGGGCCGCAGATGTAGCGCGGTTGGGCTGTCGCGACACTGGCGGAAATGAGGGCTGACGAGGGGCCGGTGGGCGAACGGGGATTTATCTTGTTATAATATATATAAATAGATGCGTTATTTAACGGAGAGAGCGAGCTAGTGAGCGATGAAAAAAGAGAGAAAGAAATGTTCTGCTTGATCCGAGAATATATATATTGAATCTGAGGGTTGGATGAGGTTGGATGAGCGAGCTGACGCCGCCTGTTTCAACGAGCGGAGGCCGGAGAGTAGTATATGTACGGAGTGTGCGACTGGAGTCGAGCAGCGAGGTCTGTCTGCGCCACGCCGCCCAGGAGTGGTATTTTGGAATCTGGAGAGTCGTATTTGATCGAGCGACTTGGCGATAGATAAGTTGTATAGAAACTACATATATATGCCTTCACGACCATGGCCTGCCGACTCTCTCCTGCATCGTCAGGCCCGCATCCTGTTGCTGGTGCTGGTGCTCGTCAATTCTGCTGCAGCATCAAAGCTCTCCCTTCCATAAGATATTACTATCAAGTCAACGAACTTTCGACATTGTCAGTGTTCCATGGCGCCACAGGATTCTGGTAGGTTTACTGGTAAGTTTGCTCTCTGGACGTTGTTTATTCGTTGAAGTTCGTCCCCGCCCAGGCCAAAGGGGCAGAGGTTCCAAGGTTCACCAGCTAACCAAGTTACTATATATATATATATATATATATGTATATATTGTGTATGGGTGTTCAGTACTAGTATGTTAGTATTGTTTATGCACCAGATAATAGCACAGTTGGAGATAGCCAGCGTTTCCTTGGTTCTCGATATCCTCCCACGCACATTGACAGGCCATGTACGGAATCTATCAACTCCCGCGACTTCAACAGGAGAATACAGGCACACGGAGATATAGAGTTCCTACCGTTTTCTTCCAGCCCTGGAACCTGGAACCAACTTGACAAATCTTCAGGGCGTTTCAAAACGGTTCGCCCCACCTCAAAGCAGCCGCAAGTTCCTATATATTCGACCGCGTGGAATGGTTTAGCATACACGACAAGATGTCGCATTCCGATATGTCTGACATGTGGCCTCAAATCCTTCCTGCATTCCCTTTCGGATAGCCTGTTCTCGTCTCGGCGGATAATCCTGCACATCCAGCTCCTTCCCCGAGATGAGCAAACGAAACCTTCTGGATAGACGTCCAACGAAACAACGAACCAATCAATCTGCCAATGAAACCATTGAACGAAATCCGACGGCCCCGCCATCGTATATCTAAAGCATATAGATATATGAAGCAAGATGCTGACGCGCGTTCAATCAAACCAGTGAGCGAACTGGACCAAACTTCATCCAACCGGACAGCGCAAAGCGGGATAGTTACGTGGGCACTCGCGGCTTCCACAGCTTTGGACAATCAGATGACCCCGTATGAGAACTCGTTGTGTATTTTGACCTGGATCAGATTGTCGCCCTTGTGGAATTTCCTGTAACCCCAACAGCGAGTCAGTCCAGCTGATGGTGATGGTGGTTCGCTATTGTGTCTTAGTTTTTATTTTTCTTTATCATCATCGTTGGTTTTCCATATGGGAGGGAGCAGGATTTAACTGTTCGACTAAACTATCTGCCAATTTAGGTGCATACACTTTAATTTTCAATATCCAATAACCTGCAGCTCAACCAGGCGCCTCGTCGCAACGGGAAATGCTGATGTGGCAAACGACTGTGGATTGCACAGCCTCATGGGCGCAACTCACAGGATTGAATCATGGACGATGACGACATGCGAGATGTGAGATGCGGGATTTCCAAGGGAGAACACATCGCTAGATCAAAAATCCCGGATTATCATCACATCCAATTTCATCAATATCCAAATTGAGGGGATGACAACATATAGCTGAGAAAAGAACATGCGGTGCTATTATAAATGCGAACTCAAATAGCCAGTATCCGCATCACAGCGTAAGAAGGATTTTGCCCCTCGAATGCCCCTTATCCAGGTGCTCAAACGCCTGTTTATACTCCTCCAGCTTCCAAACACTGTCCACAACAGCCTTCACCTTTCCCTCATCAAACAGCCTCCCAACATGCAACAAATCATCCCCCCTTGGCTCCATAATGAAAAACTCATTTCGGACATCCTCCACCATGCACCCTTCCGGCTTCCGCCCTTCCGGTGGCTCACAAATAGACAAAAGCACCCCGCCGTCCTTCACAGCACTCCAGCATTGCCCTAGCGACTCGCCGCCTTTACAATCAACCACCAAATCCACCTTCCCGCCGGGCCCTAACCTCCCCGCCCACTCCCCCACACTCGATTTCGTATAGTCAATAACCTCCGTCGCCCCCAACTCCCTCACAAAATCCACATTCCCGGACCCACAAACAGCCACAATCTCACCCACCCCGGCCTCCCTCGCCAACTGCAACAGCCAAACCCCAACTCCGCCCGACGCAGCCGTCACCAGCACCTTCTTCCCCCGATTCCGCTCCCTCCCCGTCTCCCCTTCCCCCAGCCCCGCTAACCCCCCGCGTATAAACAGCGCCTGCACCGCCGTCTCCGCACTCAACGGCACGCTCGCCGCCGATATCGCATCGACGTTCGCCGGCCGCCGCGCGAGCTCCTCCGTCGGCGCAATGGTGTACTCGCGCGCGTTGCCGGGTCGCTTGACGTTCGTGCGGCCCCAGACGGGCGTGCCGGGCGGGAACGGCGAGTTGGCCGGCGCTTGGACGACGGTGCCGGACAGGTCGTAGCAGGGGACGATCTCGGCGGAAAACAGGTGCGGGTTCCAGGCGGGCCAGGTCAGTTCGCCGGCGCAGGGGGAGGTGGCGTGCACGCGGATCAGGTGTTCGGTTGAGGAGGAGCGGTCGAGGGCGGGTGGGGCTGTGGTTCTTAGGGTTATTTCAGGCTTGAGGGGATCGGGTTGGTGGAGGGAGCGGATTGAGGGGGGCAGAGGCGTGTTGGGGTCCATTTTTCCTTTGTGGGGAAGGGGGGGGGAGGGAATCTGGTTTTGTTCTTGATGGGTTTAAAGGGAGCCTTGTAGCCTTGTAGGTTGGAGACAATGCAGGTAAGGAAGGGGTGATTGATTTGTTGTACAGAAGCCAAGGATGTAAAAAGAGAGAATTTCCCCTCAATTGTGGTTGCGGTTGGTTTGAGGTAAAGCCGCTTTTGCCAGTTTCTATGTACTAACACGGAGGCTCAGCTCGGCTATATAACAACAATAATGAATAAGAATAAGAATACTAAAGAGAGGTTGTCATGAGAATCGTCAATCTTCTACTCCGTACTAACAACAATAAAGTCCTGTACTGCGTTACATGCCTGGCGCGCAATCGCGTTTAAATACCCCGCCCGCATAACCACCTTCATCCGACACTGCCGCCCGTCGGAGGTCCGTAACCTCCGTCAAACGCGGTCCACTCGAATCTCCGTGCATCATTAAAATTCTGAATACGAGATTTTTGCTTCGGTTTGCTTATTACTAATTCGTATGATAATTATTCTTCGCCACCCACCGCATTCCATCGAGCAGCAGGCATTGTCAAGTCTAAGCTCTGTGAACACGAGATCTCCGGCTAGATCTGTCACGACTCTCTGGATCTTCCCTTCTTCTGGATGGAGAAAGCGTTCTCTTCCCGGCGGAACGACCCATTCTTGTGACGTTAGCAGAGGCAATCTCATCAGCTGATGTCTCGGAATCGCGTGTTGCATGGGCAGAATGAGAGACCAAACTCTGACTTGACGTTTCGAAGGACATGTCCACGCGAATATCAGCGACAGTGCCATTGGCGTTTGCAATACCATAATCTCGCTGTTCCTTTGCCCAGTCTCGAGCATTTCTGAAAGCACTGGCTCCTTGCCGGAAGGTCTCTGCAGTATCAGTCAAGGAAAAGGACCTGAGCTGAGTCATGTGATAATCTGTATCTCTCCCTGGGTCGTTGGATGCCGTTGGATGAGTCGTGAACAGTTTGAGAGTCCCGTCCTGGTAAGTCGAGGTAACGACATAGGCATTACCATCATATGCAAGCTCCTTCCCATATGCTTGGAGTCGAAGCATCGCACGAGCGCCAAGGGTGCCGTCATAGAGCGCTTGTCTTTTGGCAACGGCAGTAGAGCCATCGGGACCTTTGGCCTCAGCAAAAAAGTTGGGCAATATTGGAGCATTATGCTGTGTAGACGGTACAATATAACTGTTCAGCTCGCTACGGACTCGACGGTCAAGTTGTGCTGCATGAGCGCCATCATAGAAGTCTGGCATCGCATTCACAATCCCATCAGCAAATCGCTCCAGATTGCCGAATAACTTATCCTCCTCATAAGGGATATCAGCATCCCCGCGGATAATAGGAAACACAGAGCTCATCACTTTCTTCTCTCCTAAGGCATGTGCGTTAGTGCGCTTAAAATTTCGAAAGTCGGTCTCGGAAAAGCGCGAAGGCGACAGTGATGGCCTTGGTCGCGCAAGTCTCTGGATAATTTCATCCAAATTGCTTGGTAGCGGGAAACGATCATCAGGGTAATCGTATTCCTCCGGATATGCCCCGTGATCTATGAGGACCTGTTCGAAATTGGCATCATAAGCAGAAGACTTCCTTTCTGTAGTAGTAGAAGTTCTCTGCGTTGATTGGCGTATTGCATTAAAACGCGACCGATTGGGCAAATTCGATCTCGATCTACGGCTGGATGAACGGGATCGGCTGGAGGTCATATTTGGAGCCACTTGATACAAATATGGTTCAGGATACTGAGAAAGGGGTGAGCTAGGGTTCAATATTCAGTTGGTATAGACTTACGCCTCTTAGATTGCGGAGATCGGGGCCTCCGTGTCTTGCAAAGCGCTTTAATCGACACCAGTCTTCGTTGATGTCCAGGCTCCCCTCTAGTTGATAGTGCTCGCGGGGAGCAGCAGGTGGTGTATGTCCTGCTGTTCTCCGGTCCAATTCCTTCAAGGCACGTCGAGTAAGCCACACCTTTGAAAGACGATCCCAAGAACAACCAGGGGGATTTGATGATAGGACTCTAGGCTGTTTGGCACGATGCTGCCCCACAGGTGTTGGGGGATCAGATAAACAATTTTCCGCGCACCTCTGTCTTTTTTGACTGCGAGTTACTGAGTTTTGGACCGCATGCATCGAGCCAAAAGGCTTGGGGTCCGAAAATATCGGTAGAGCTGGGGAAGAAGGCATGATAGAAGGGAGAGAGGGGCAGCCTTGTTATGAAGGTCGTCCTGCAGGTCTGCGGTGACCGAGTCATACTTGCCATCCAATTACAGACATGGCAGGGGAGGGAGATGGTGATGGGTGCAGTTGATACCAGGCGCTTCAGGGTTCTGCTGTAACGGTAGTTTCAGTAAATGTCAATAAACCTTCCAAAAAGCCAGCAAAGTTATATAAAGGGTGGAAAAATAGTTAACTGAAGAAACGGAAATATAGAATTAATTAAGAGATTAGTTGATGAATTTGATAGATTCATTCGAGTGGCCGTGGATGGCGTGTAGCAAGCAAATAACCTTGACCAGCGCGGTCACGTGGTAAGCACCGGCACCATAACCTCACCTTCACAATGTTTATCTTATTTTATTTTATTTTTCCCTTTCGCTTTCTGAAGAATAGCTAGAATAGCAATTACCATGGCCAGTAGTTAGGACACCATGGATGCTAAATTGATTTGCAAGTTCGACACCTTGGATTCGAGGCGATATTTAAACGACAGCATCGGCTGGCTTGGCGGCTCCGCCTCCCAAATCCAATTCATGTTGGCTTCATCGCCATCCTCAGGAATCCCCGCCAACTTGCCATTGACGTTCTCCAGGTCTGTATGTTTGGCGGACTTTCTCGTCCAATAACAACGTTGGTTTGATCCTGTTATGTAACTTGACCACCGATCCGAATGTTCTGTCCTCCTTTCGAACACTCGGCCTGAGAGCAACCTGATATCCTTCTCTGAGCGAGGACCACTAACTATTCTCCAGTCAAAAGCCTCCCACCAACCGAAATCAACCCCAGGGAAAAAGCAAAATCATCCGGTTGGAATCTAAGAAAGGTTGCAGAAATGGAAGATCAGACCCGTGCTTCATCTCCCAGCCATCCTCGTCACTCGAGCCAACTTCACCACCGCTCAGACACACCTACGTTGACGACTTCCCCCTTGGCGTCGGAAGCGCATGCAACGGCCTCTGGAGTCGAACCACTGCCTTATCAGATAACCCAAGAGCCTTCTGACGAGGAAGATCAACGCCCGCCTCGCTATACTCTCGAAAACGACCCCTTCCAGCTAGCCAGTAAGCTGAAGTCTGACGCCGAAATCGACAAGATTAAGGCAAATACAGCTCGCAAACGAGAGGGTGGTTCAAACAAAAGCGTCACGAGTTCCTCAAAAAAGCTTCAAGGCTTTTACAAGTCCCAGAATGAGAACATTAAAAAGCTGTTAAAGCCAGTCGACGAACATGTGCGGCTCGCAAAGGAATACAACACCCAGAACCAGCTCAAGTACAAGATCGCCGTCTATGGTAGTTTCGCGGCGAGCATCGTCTTAGCAATCCTCCAACTCTACGCCGCTATTGCGTCAGGATCTCTATCACTCTTTACAACAATGGCTGACTCGATTTTCGATCCGATGTCCAACCTGACCCTGCTCATCAGCCACAAGGCCGTGACACGCGTTGATGCACGCAAGTTCCCCGCTGGAAAAGCCCGGATTGAAACGGCCGGAAATATCTTTTTCTGCTTCCTCATGACATCCGTATCACTGATTTTGATTTCGTTTTCCGCCAAGAGCCTTTCGGATGGGAACACTGAGGAGACCCTGGGATTTCACATACCCCCCATTGTCGCAGTGTGTATTGCGTTCTCAACTAAGTTCGCCCTGTTCGTGTACTGCTGGGCACTCCGAAACCAATATTCCCAAGTCCGGATTCTGTGGGAGGATCACCGCAATGACCTCCTTATCAATGGACTCGGCATTTTGACTTCGGTGGGCGGCGGTAAGCTCAGATGGTGGATCGACCCATCGGGTGCTCTGATCCTCTCCTGTCTAATAGCTATCCTCTGGCTTCGAACTGCTTATTCTGAGTTCCAACTCCTGATTGGCGTCACTGCAGATACGCAGATGCAGCAGTTGATTACATATATATGTATGAAATAGCCTCTCACCACCATTTCCCCGGTTTTTGTTTTACTTTTATTTTCCCGCCTCCCCTATAAACTCCCCAGATACCCATACACCCAACCCCAACTGGCGTCAGTCTTAGTCCTTCTCCATTAACAATTTTACTTCAATTTAGCAATGACCCACTCCCCAATGATCCAAGCCATCGACACCGTACGCGCCTACACATCAGGGCCGCGTCTAGTTGTTGAAGTCGACATCGTGATGGACCGCAACGAGACCCTTATGGCTACCCATGATGTCGCAGAAGAGTTACAGATGAAGCTTGAAAGCCTCCCCGATGTGGAGCGGGCATATGTCCATGTCGACTATGAGACTACCCATAAACCAGAGCACTTTCTGAAAAAGGAGCTCTAAGATGAGAAACCAATCACACAAACGTGCTCGGACAGCTTAATATAGCACGACGTTGTACTTTTATTATCTGGTGCTTATAATAGATGCGTGTTCTTATTAACACAAGCAGAATGTGAGTTCAGGTCGCCATATTGTATCTGCTCTCTTCGGCCTTGTCTTATCATTCTTTCATGCGTTCATGTTTAATGTCTGGCGTTTTCCCGTGTCGTTTTCGCTCCTCTAGATCCTATAGACAGGTTGTGAAATAAAAGGAAATACGGATAATGAGACTAAATAGCTACATACCTTCGATGTTAAGTAGAACAAAGCGTAGAAGTGCCTATTAGAATGCGTAGATGAGGACATGAACATGCCTCAAAATAATACATATATATTGATGAAGAACAAATATAAACCGATTCCATCAGCGGGCATTATATGGTCATTAGTCCCTGGTATCCCTCCATCCTCTACCCACATCCGATCACAATCCATGCACAAGACCTTATTCCCACATATCGTCTTCTCCAACAATCCATCATTCATCACCCTTGCCCGCCCCACTCCCGAAAATCTCATCCCTTCTCGTTTCGCGATCCCACACGACCTTCCCATCAGCCTTCCGCTTGAAATACAGTATCCGATGCTGCGGAATAAACTCCTCGTCTGTCTGCTCCGACTTCCACCGATCGAGCGGAATCTCCTTTGCTCCCAGAAATCGGTCTTCATAGCCAATGATGTACTCCGCGCCGTGAAATGACGGGTCCCAACGGAGCCGGTTCAGAATGTCAGAGGCCGGGCGCAACTTCGCCGTTGACACCGGTTTGCTGGTCGATGTGTGGGTGCCTTTCTTCCTCGTGGATGGAATGCTGTCAGCTTCTGTGTCTGCTTCGTTGTCATCGAAATTTCCGAAACCTATGTCGGAGTCGGAGTCGGAGTCATCACTGTTGAAGTCTTGATTGGTGAAGATGCCCCAATTTCTGTCGTCGAGCTTCAGGGGCCCTAGGCTGTCCTGTTTGACGTGTGTAACGTCGACCCAGGCTGAGGCGAGATTGAAGTATTTCTTATTGCTCTGGACACTACTTGCGAATTGATCCATTGAAGCTTGGAGTGTATCCTGCGCGAGTTTGCGGTCGAGTTTACTAAACGTGCGTGTTGGGTCGGTCGCATGATCTGCTTTCCTTAAACCAATTAAGTAGCAACCTTGATATTCGTGCTCCTCTTGTGCCGGGGTGGAATTTTCGTGGTCCTCGTTCTGTGTAAATCTGGCAGGCCAGATTCTGGCCTGAATGTCGGGAAACTCTCGATACAGATCTGATTGATTTGGGACAATTTGTCAGTTGAATGCTATAAAGACCAGACGGCTTGTCTTGATCCAGGGCGCTTACCATCAAGGAGGTCCAGGCATCTGGATTCCACCCAGCCGACTAGCGAACTTCCCTTCGCCAATGATAGGCTCCAATACTGCACATTGATCTTGATATAGCTGTTGTATGATTTCAAGAACTCATCGGCAGAACTTGATAAGGCCGACTTTCCGGTTTTAGGGTAAATCCCAAGAAGTTCTGCCCAATTTGCATTCCCTTCTGAAATGAGATTCTCGGCGCGTTTCATCTCATCAACTATCTTCCTCATTGAGGGGATTGAAGTGGAACGCGCAACATTGATAATAGGGGTATGGAGAGTGAATATAATCATACCCTCTCGCGGGGGTCTATAATTCCGAGGCGGTTTCCCATGGAAGATCGGGTCATACACAGCGTCTTTCCCCCAGTTGAAGTTTCCATAATGATTGAAAAATGTACAAAGAATATCTGCAGCACTACCCGGGTTAGGAGGGAGGAGCTTCATAAGCCTGGACAACATCAGAGTAATATGAATTCCTCCAAGGTAGCCAAACCTCGAGGAGTAAATTCCTCGGTATTTGGCCCACCCTTTGATGATACGATGTAGTAAACGGAATGTCGCTGGATTCTGAATCGTTCGTTGAAGGTAGGCCTGATCCCGGTAAGGCTGGAGTTTCATCCGAGGAATAAGTGATAGGTTAAATAAAGGGCTCGATTGAGGCAAATTAGGAACTTCTAGCCACCTGCCAAACCCACCTATATCAGTTTCTGGGCGCCAAAACCGAGTCCGCCATTTCAAAACAAATCAAACATACCTTTCCGCAACAGCTGCCGCTGGACAATATTGCAAATCGAACTTGATCCCGTTAATTTCAAGCTCCAACATTGTCCCAAAAGCTGGCTTGACCCTTCGAATGATTTTCACTCCTAGATCTATCCTGTTCCTCAATCTCTGGATAATAAGCTCGAAGAAGACGTTCGCGCTAATCGAACTAACACATAGACAATCTATATCTGACGATTCAGTCCAAACTCCTAAGCCAGAAGAACCAACAGTAGTAACTACAATTGAGAACTTCGATCGGCCAATCTCCTCGCCGTTGCTAGGCTCTGATAGTGAGCTGTCCTGGATGATATGTTTCAAAAGCAAGAATGCAGCTTTCCGTGCCTCTGCGCTTTCAGGAGATGGTACAATAGACTGATCTTCCTGACATATTTTCAGCGAGACAGGGTCATCAAAGTTGGGGTGGGCCTTCTTGATATCAAGGGGTGTAGCTTTCACGGGGGTGTTCCCGCGTACTCCACCATTCGTTCCCAGCTCCAAGGACGCTCTGATCCCCCAATGATCACTTGGGAATTGTAGCTTGATATCCCCGGTCGCTTCATCAATTCGTTTTATGGGAAAGCCAAACATGTTGAACGCAGTAACCTTCAAGTCATCCTCGCCGAAAAGGATTCTATCATATCGGTGTGGTCTTGGATTTGCCGTGCTGCCAGATGAAGCGGCGGCGAGCGAGTTCTCAAGAGGGTCGAATGTAGCACCCTGTTCGCCGTCATATAACTGTGTGAAGTCTCGTTCCAGTCGAGCTGGTGAAACCATGTCTTTCATCCCAGTCTGGGCTACGAGCCACGAATCCAGATAGCCAGAATATTGTAGCATGGATTCTAGAACGGGGAGAGTCGCTATAGATTGTGGCGATATCAACTTTCTCTCAGCTGCTTCCTCATGAGTGATAGAAGACGTTGTCATATTAAAGTCACCAGCGATAACTTTGGGGTTGTTGGCATGGGTCGCAGAGAGGAAATGGAATAATCTCTCGAGCTGTTGCTTCCTTGCCGCCACAGCATAGTCAAAAAGGCCGCTGGAAAGGTGAACACCAGCAATTATTGTTGGGACGAAACCGGAGTCATCCATTTTCCCAACGTTGCTCAAAGCGAGAAGGACAGCACCTTTATGGTTGGTGCCCAGAGGAAGCCAACTCCACGTAAAGTTAGAGCGGCTCAGCGCAACGACGTTTCGCAAACTTGATAATGGGCCAATTCCCTTCTGATCCGGTGGGCCATGCGTAGCGAAAGGATACATAGTTCGAATGGCATCCTGGCCAAGGATGTAGGCCAAAAAGTCGTCTGAAACTTCCTGAAGTACCAAAACGTCGGCCACGGAGGTTTTGGAGATCAGGGTGTGAAGAAGAATAGGATACCTATCCGTTGCCGGTGGATGCATAGACTCAACGAGGACATTGTAACTTGACACCTTCAGCGCGCTAGGAATTAGTTCCTCGTCTTCTGGTGCACTGCTTGCTTCCGCAGGAGTCCAGATTCCAGCGTCATCCGAAAACATATAGGTGATCCTGGATTCAGCGCCAGAACCACCGCGTTCTGGGTTTATATGGAGATCTTGTAAGGATAATTCCGAGGCTGTTGAAGACAGAGACGAAGTTTCCCTGTCATCTCCATCCTGTCCCACATCCCGCGCAGCAATGGCAATTTGGTTAAACGTGGCAGACTCATCCAAGTCAATTGTCCCCCACAATTTCATCTTGTTCATATTGCCGGCCTTCTCGCGGACCATGATGGCGAGCTGCCCCACATCCCATTCAATCGGCGGGAGTAGTTCTGCCTTCGACAGTAGATAATCACGGGCATTATTATCATTGGCCTTACTCTGTCCAATCGTCAGATGAGGTTGGTATCCCCTCCACTGTCGGTCGGCGGGTTGCTTGAAACCCTCCAGAATGGCAGCCCGAAGATCGCTGAAGGTCAAAACACCTTCGCTATCATCCGGTGCAAGGTAGACGACATTCCCACGCCGCTGTGTGAAATGTCCAGGCTTATTGAGGCAAACACGGAGGCGAGCGTTACCAACTTTAGAGAGCCAAATAGAAAGATTTGATCGGATCAGATCAACGGCGGCTGGTAAACGGTCAAATGACACAAATGGATAAATGAGGTTAATATGAGCAGGCCATTTTTCAAACGCCTGGTCATACAACGCGCGGAGTCGATTGGCATCCTTAGCAAGAGGTGAGGGAGGAATAATACATAGAGCTGTCTGATGTGCATTGAGGGTTAAGCTGGTTGCTTGAGGGAATTCCTTTAAGTCCGCCATGACCTTTCCGATCGCAGTATTCGCTTTCAGGCTTGGAATTTGTGGAAGGGAGGGAGAATATATTAAACAGGGTATCTCGTAGGAAAAATAGAGAAAACAAAAGGCATGAAATGTGAGCGTCAATAAAACTTTCAAGCACACTTGGCTATCTGCAGAATTTATACAGAACTCGGCGATAATTTCAATCTTGTTGCAAGCAATATGAACTTTGTCATGACTCCACCCCGTGGAGATGTGTCAGAGACAGATCCCAAGGCATCTCTCCTCCTCCGCCTTGACGCCGTGCTGGCTTGTACAGAACAACTGAGACGATGTTAAATGGCGTTGTTATGACTCCCGCTCAAGCCTCCACGATGGGGATTGGTGGCTGTCAGCGCTAAATGCGGTGGGCGTAGTCCTTATCAGGGAAAATTCACAGTGAGTCACCAAACCAGTCATCTTGTTGCACTCAGGTAAAATGTTGAATTCTTAAAAAGAAAGAGAGAAAGAAAGAAAGAAAGAAAGAAAGAAAAAAAGAAATCGAGTTGAAGCCTCAAGGATAGGCGGAGAGGGAAAGCTAATTACTGTCTTATCACTCACCAGCATTGTGAATGTTCAGCAATTTAAAACAACGAAGTAAGGGAAATGGCATATTCCATTGAAGTTTAAAACTATCAATTCGGTCCTTCCCATTATCGTTTGCAAAATGACAGGTTTCTCATAGTAATTTGTATCATTACACCTGAGGATCTATATATATCGCTCTACATCGAAAAATCATGCCAGCCATAAATAAATAACATTAGAAAGAGCCACATAAAAACGTATCACAAGCTTGCCCCACACTCGTGGTCATTCGCTTCACAACATGCCCATGGCTGCCAACACCCAAACAAGCACGGATGTCCGCAGCATCCAGCGAGTCTCAGTACCCTCTCCAAGCTGTCTTTTGGCTCCTCCCGCTGTCTTCTTCTGTTGTGAAACGCCATCGCTACTCCCGGCTTCTCCTGATTTCGCAGGTGGAGGGGGCGGAGTCGGTGATGCAAACGATCTCTTCTCCTGATCATAGGCTAAACACGCCGTGGGAAGTGCAAACTCTTTGGAAACCAGTACGCGTTCAGCTTCGAGAGGCTTCGAGAAGCTGCCGATGCCGACCTCCAACCCGGCCCTGATACCCATGTTAAGCTCAACGGAGGGGACGATGTTGGTGAAATCCCCTATGAGGTCATCGAGGGTGGGGATGTGATTTTTCTCATCTTTTCCTTCGTCTGGTCGGGGGGTTGAGGTCGGGAGCGGGTTGCATTTACCGTCGACGTTTTTGAGCTGGTCGACTTTCACGGTGATAGAGGGGATATCGAAGAAAGCGCCGATGTCTCCTGATGTCGCGGCGATCGGGGAGCTGATGCCTAGAAGGATTTCGGGGCGGAAACTGATATTGAATTCAAGCCCGGTTGGCGTTTGCGCCTGAAAAGGAAGGGCTGAGAATTTCGTGCGGTCGCTGGTTGGAAATGTTTTAGCATGGATACATACTACTCAGTCCTTGGGAAGGCTTAAAGGGGGAGACGGCGGCACTCAACTAGGGCCATGGTACACATACAATCCGGTGGTGGTCGAGTTGCTTAGATCTTCTATATCGATTGTGAAACTTGCATCATTAGGTACCTGAATGAAAATTGAAATTATTTGATTAGCGTCAATAAGCATTTTCGAGTTTCTGCTAGGAACAAGGTAAAGTGTATAGCAAAGATGATGTTGCACATACGGAGACATTGAATCCGTATTCAAACTCAAAAGGTTTATTTAGCGTCAGGGACATCTCAATCTTAGGCCTGAAAATTGGCCCAAAAGCGACAATGCCGGGTATCTATTTCCAAGTTAGAAAATATTCCCCGCCATAATGAAGAAAAAAAGACACAAGTGCGATAATCAACTGACCATAAAGGGAGTAATAGGAAATTCTGGTAATGGAACTGAGAACTGCAAACCATTCGCTGCTAAATCCAACTCCGTTGAAAGCTCGATATGCGCAAAGAGGTCCTCTACATCGACCTGGACTTCTCCGTGTTGGAAAAATTGAATGGTATTATTTACCGCATCAATTGGATTGTCCGGATCCTCGAGCTTGAACGACCCCTGTGAGAGTTCCACATTACCGCCGACCGTGCAGTTTTTACATTTTAATGTCAGTCCCTCAGGGCTGGGAGAGCTGTTAGATTCTGGGACTACTTTGTAAAGCAGGGACGTGGGAAGAACGAAATATTATTCCACTTACATGAAGAGAGAAGACCCTGGGAACTCAGGAGGCATAACGACTTGGTCAATTAATTTCACCGCAGGGTCCGTGTTGGTGGGAGATGCGGGTGCGGGTGGGACAGTGCTTGTAGGATTAGCTGCCTGGCGTTTCTTCAAACTAATATTTCGTCGTTCCAGAACTTGGGTCGATGGTTTGCGAGAGAATGAGACCCCCAGCATGCTGAAAGCAGATTTCCAATCACTGGATGTTTTTGATAGAATCATAATTTTTCTATCCCTGCGGATGGTAACTTCTGTGATTCTGCGATGTGGCGGTTCAATATCGAATAACTCAAACGAAATAGAAGAGATATCAGGGAACTCTCTTACATGTGAGGTGCTCTTTGGTCCGCTTCATTGCAATTGAAGTGCGATGACACGACGATAAAATCGGTCAGGTGTTCAAGCTCTCTTGCGACTCTATCTAGAGCATTGATTGAAGAAAAATGTAGTTCTATTTCCGCTGCAGAGCATGAAACGTCAAGCAGGTCACTCTCAATGTCTTCAAGGGTCAAAATCGGTTTTTCACTCCTAACTCCCACACTGGCAGTGAAAACCGAGCCATCAACAACAAATGAGCCACCGCTGCTGCGGCTTTCAAGAAAGTCGAAACTGGTTTCCCTTTTCAAAAGGACGGAAGACGTATCTCGTGCCTCAAGCGTGGATCTCAGAGTTGCCGCTGACAGCACTCGAGCGCGGGCGAGAGCTGAGCTAGAAAACCCATGAGCCAGGGATTCACCAACAAGTCCAGCTAGGACGAACAACTGCAAGAAGAAAATACGGGAAATTAGAGACACGCCCATGTTTCCTCAAGTAAAATTTAACCACAAGATTGATAAAGACATGGAACACTCCCACATTCGTACATTACACTGGCAAGCCCTTATATATATTTAATACCTCTCCAGCACAACGTTGCGACGCAGGTCGCGACATCGCCAAGGCATCGAAAGGACTGATGGGGCTTTGCTCAGGATTGGCATTTCAGGGATCGTTGCCCGTTGAAGTCAGCCGTTCCGCAAGAATAACCTCAAGTTGGTGTAAGATTTTGAGCCTCTAATGCAAGTTACCCGGTGATGGAAACGGTTTCTCCGTTGCATGACAGGCCTAGCTAGAGAAGACAGGCGGGGATATGTGTGTCAGAGCCGCCAGTCGACTGGGGAACGAGAGAACCACGGGCTCGGGAATGGAGTTACATTGTCTGATGACAGAAATAGCCTCGAGCTGCTGCTTTTGAGCTCACACTCCTGTGGACCTGCAGGGCCAATACTGGAAATGTAGGTATTCCCATGCACATGGTTGCGACGCCGCCGCAACCGGACGATACTCTGCCAATGTGGTCTGGAATATAATCGCTTAGAAACCTGTCGCGAGTTTCTGGAAAGCTCGTCGGAATGGAGGGGTGAAATGGATCTTCAACTTCACGCCGAGGAGCCCGCGGTCTCCATTAGTTCATCATTCCTTGGGGGGTTCCGCTCAAGGGGTTTCAAGGTATGTCCTGTCGTGTGTCATGTAGGCTCTAACGGAAGCTCCATCGCTCCGTGGCTGTGGTCCTGGCAGCAGCGGGACAGATGCCTGTCGATACATGTGCATCCGCTAGGTATGTGAGTTTCGTACCCGATGTGGTTAGAGATCATTCGACAGTCAACAACATGATATTGATAGAAAGGACGATATCCTCTACACGATGTCGAAAGATCTAGCTTGGCCTGTTGCGGAAAATCGCAGCGCGCTGAGCATATGCCAAGCCGGCCGAGGAGAATGCTTAGGCGAGGCATTCTCGACTTTGTTCTTGATCTTTTGTCTTGGTCAATATGCGAATATATCAACTCCCGAATAATGTCGGCTCCTCTCAGCTTCAAAACTCCACTGAAAGCTAGCGAGTCGGCTGGAAATATCATATAACTACGGAGTACCAATCGAACTTTTTAGTTACATCCCATTAGCTACTATATTTAGACGCCAAGCGATCCTGATATTCGCGCCTCTAGAAACGAGTTTTTTTTCCTCGCATGGCGGACACTCTTTACAAACGGCATTTGAGGGTATTCCTGTCAATGTGTGCCTGACCGTCAAATCATTTGGGATGTTCCCCGCTTTCATGCAACTCGGACACAGGGAACTGCCACCAGAGGAGATCCGTGCTCGCAGCTCACCTCTGACCACTGCCGTTTCATTTACTTCAAGCCGGGGTACTACAGGTAGCTAGCTGAATCTGGGAGGAAATAGAGGAAGGATGTCAGTCCAACCCCTCGAACGTCGAATCCAGCGAATCAGAATGCTAGCTAACCCTCGTTGAATGTTGGGTTGGGAACAGCTCCATCAATCTAACAGATCCCCTCCACTGTTTAAATTGTGCTACAGAGTTTGTTCAAATGCTATCTACGATCATCAGCCTTGAGGGGACCTACAGAGGAGTTATATTTAGCCCTTCTTCGGAATCCGCCTGACCCGCCTTGCAAAGCTCGCAACTCAATGGCAAACTGCACTACAGACATTCATGTGCGAACCAATGGAGCAACATCTAGAATATCTGACTTTGAGCCGTTTCTCAAAGTATTATGAAATTATAGGTAAATTAATCTCCCTCTAATACTACCTCAAATAGATCTTGCGAGCCATGGGGTTGCAATCCTTGCACATCGGGATTTGTTCATTACCCTGGTTCAGTTGTGGGAAGGGCGAGATTGAGTAAAAAGCCTTTATGACGTATTCTGCGCGTATATACAGTATGTATACATGCGCATGCACCGCCTAAAAGCCACGCTTTGAGGCCTATTCTTTAATGGAAGCGAAGAGGGGTAAAAAATGCGAAAAGGTTTTTTTAAAAAAAACATGGGGATAGGGCGCGCGAGCCAAAGAAAAAACCATAAATATATCTCTCCTATGACAAATATAGATGGGCATAGATCTCGCATGAACAGCTATAGCGCGGATGCACACAATTACAGCCATTACATTGAGCCTTAGGGAACCTTGAGAATCAGAGAAAAACAAAATCCATACACCGTTCCTGAGTTACCAAATACGCATCAACTACTAGACCGCCTCAGTGCGGTTTGCCCAGGCCTATGCTCTGAAGGGCCCTTTGTTGAATTCTTTCCCGTTTGCCTGCTTCCTTCCCCATTATGGATAAATAGTTGCATGGAAGGAAGAGCAAATGGCGATTTCGACGAGGGACAAATCGTTATTTCCCTTATCATTTCACTGAGGAGGCGGATTGCTTCGGCAAATGATTTGGGTGGTGTTGGCTCTTTCTGAATGAACTTTATGCGCTGTTTCTTGCGATGCTGTATTTGAATGGGTTCCCGTATTTGCTCCCTGCGATCTCGAGTACTTTCCCGTATGCCTACATATCATTCTGCACGCGGTTTGAAACGGTCTGGTGAGAAGGGAGTTCTTCAAAATTGCCTTTCCGGGGCGAGCGAGAAATAGGTGGCAAGTCATGCTCTCAACATCGACAAGAGTTGCACGCATGTCCTGGTCAAAAGTAATGATCGAGGGTTTGAGGTTCATATGTGTTCTCTGAGAGTTGTGAGGTTCGCAGCACCGACTTGAGCAGCTAAGTGGTGTCAGTTACAACCATGGAGATTTTTGCCAGAGAAGCAAAAAAATCTTGCAGAGAATCACCACCGCAGGGCTTCAGGCAATGTTGACAATAGCAAGGGCTGGTTGTGTAGCCAGGACGCCTAAATGCTTCTTGAGGACATAACTCAGCCTCCTGAACGACTGTTTCAGTTCGGTATCCATTTGGTTGTACACGGCTGCCCAACGCTCTTGCAGATGTAATTCCAGTCCCTATTAAAAGATATTCGGGAGCAAAAGGCACGTCCATCAACAAGTTCAGTGCACTGAGAAATCCCGCCGAAATCCAAGGCGGAAAAAGATCGGGGCTCGGAGAATGGGGGTTAGGTCACTCTCATCGGATCTTCGTGAGACTTGTGCATGAAGATGCTGCCGCGATTTTCAGATGTTATAATTAGTAATTTAACCAATTTCACAGCTTCCTCTGGCAGCTTCAAGGAAATCTCGATCAGCCTGTGTCAGCAGGGAGAAGTGCATACTGCAGTCACATTCTTAGGTACCTAGATTCCTACATCACGGTTTGCGCTTGAGTGGAACCTTTAGGGTTTTAGGGGAATCCACTCGATGGAGACATCGTAAGCGGTGAGAAACCTTGAACCAAGATCATAAATAAACGGCAAAAAGACAAAAGAACACAGAAAAGAAACGAGTATAAAAGATCAGCACTATTAGGTTTATTAGCAAGAATTAGCTTAAAAAAATGAAAAAAACCAAGTGAAATGAAATTTTATAAAAGGAACTTCACTCTGTCGTGAAATTTATGCAGTACTAGTAATGATAATGCAATTGGTGATTTGGGGGAATCCAACAAGAGAACAAACGCGAGATGTGGGCTCAGAAAAAAAAAAAAAAAAAGGAAAAGAGAACAAAAAGAAAAAGAAAAAGAAAAAGAAAAAGAAAAAGAAAAAGAAAAAGAAAAATGGCCGGCAAAAACAAGGTAATGGGACCTCGCCACTACCTCCAAAAAACAAGAAACAAAGGCCAAGGTTCTGCAGAGTAGTCTAATCTAATAAGCGATCTTTCATTATTCCTTTTCGTTCATAAAAGTATGCCTATTATCAGTAATTGGGAGCAACAGGCTTCTATGGTGAGACCAATATCAGGAAAAGTAAAGCAGAAAAAGCGAGAAAAAGTGGGAAAAAAGGGGGAATGAATGGGCAAGCCAAAGTCCCAATATGGACACAAACGGAAAGAAAAGAAAAGAATGGAAACAATGATTCATAGCTAACCCGCTTCTAGAAATAAATAATACAAACTTCATGCCCAACCAGCACGTGTTTAATCAAAAAAAGAAAAACAAAAGAGAGAAAATGGAAAAGAGGCAAGAAAAATGAAAAAAAAGAAGCCGTCAAAATGGGGCAGGGACCAGAGCGAAAAATAAAAATTGAGAAACAGGAGGGCTGGCGAGAGGACAATTCACTTCTTTGACTTCTGCAAATTATTTTGCGGCATACTTTTCAGAATGTCATCAAAACTCATCGTGGGATTATGGCTCTTCTGTCGCGGGGGGGGCTCAAAAGGCACCACGCTGGGGGGAAGCGGCAGTGCTTCTAAGCCCATATAGATAGAGGCGCGATTACCACCATTTACCCCTGGGAGATGCCCCGGTGAATGCTCTCTGGGCACCGCGATGCTGATAAGTGGTGGTGTCTGGCTACCTGGTGTTAGGAGTGGAGTTGGCTGCCTATCCGATGAAGAACCTGTTATCGAAAGCGGAGGTGGTGGTGGCACGGTTCCTCCAATAACAGAAGCCGAATTCTGGCCTTGGAATCGCTTCTCTGCCTCACCACCATCAAGCATCGCTGGCGAGAGCATTTGTTGCTGATTCGCCCACTTCATCGCTACTTCCCAACAGTGACTGCGGCGGTAGGCGCTGTCGGGAGCGTTCGTGACTGAGGCATTAGGTAGGCTCACTACGGCCGAGCCATCGGCGACGCCGAACCACGTTCGTCCCGATTTTGAATCGTCGCGACACCATGGCATTCCGCCCCACGGGGCTATGGATAGAAAGTAGTCCACCTCCTGCGTGAAGCGGACATCAGGCGCGTCGATAATAACCCTAGGCAGCGATTGGAGGACAGCGTACATAAACAGCCACTGGCCGCAGCGTAAGTCTGCCAGATCATCGCAGCTCTTCTCTTTCTCTTTCGCCTGCTCGCGTTCAAAGTGCATGAAGTTTGCGAGGAAAGCAGTTGGTTTGATGCTCGTGTGGTTGTACGAGCTGAACAGGATTTCGCTGGCTTCACCTGGTGCGAGTTTTTTAATCCGTTCCTTGCTTTCCATTTCCGGGTCCATTTTCTTGCGGATAGACAGTATACTTGGCATAAGAGGCAGGTCAAAGGGGACTGGGGGTTGGACAGGTGGAGTGCTTCGGTCATACTCGCTCATCATCTGTCGAAGAACGCGAATGGTTAAATCCTGAGGGTCTGTAGTATTGCACTCGTTCATCATCGCCATATCGACCGTTCGTGTAGTCAAGGATGTTCTATCAACTAGCATGTCGTAAAGATCTGAAAAGTCTTGATAGAGTTCCATCAGGACTAGGCGATTCAAGCCACTTTTCTCAGATTGGTTCCTTTCGGAACCTGCTTTCGGTGGCCAAGCTCCAAAACGTTTGGCATAGTAGGATTTGACATCCTTCCTGAGTGCTAGAAACGCATTCTTCCAGTTCTTGAACCGTACCTGTTTGGCTCCGTTTAGAGTGTTCGAGTTGGCGATACCAGCGAAAAGAGATGGAAAGTCAAAGTCGTTAAGCTTAGTTTGGATGATTTCAAGTTCCTTTCGGAGGGCATTAGAACCTTTTTCAATGTTCTCCCGCGAAAGGTCCGAAATAAGGAGGTACTTGGGGTTATTAAAGTCTTCGTTCTTCAATCTTCCAACACCATGAATAAAGCCTTCCCGGTATAATGGAAAGAATTTCATCCGTTCTCCTAGGATGATTGCTTCAAGAATTTTCTCGCGACTCTTCCGCACGTCATATATTCTAAGTTCGTCACAGTACGCAGCAAAGCTAGAGGTCGCAGTCTCTCCGAACCCTGAGCCGTCCAGATTCGTAAATTCAAATTTGGAAAGAATCCCGGAAATCTCCATAAAAACATCAGACACCGAGGGATTTCCAGGAGTACCAATCAAACACTGGCCGATTAAAAAAGCAAATAGATTTCGAAACAGCACGAGCATGTCGATATCTGCATCTACTAAGGCGGAATTCGGATTGGAAAGGTCGCTCTCGAGAGGTACGGGGACATAAAGATGTAGTGGTTGAAGAGGTTCATCAAATGAGTAGTCCCCAGATATCCTGCCAACCGAACTGCTCCGATCGTCCTCCAGATATCCTATCTGATTATGTACTGGTAAAGACCCCGTCGCTGGCAAGTTGAGCTGCGGCAACTCCTCTGGTATTGTACGTCGTTTGAATTTAGGGGTTGGGTCTGTACCTCGAGCCAGGAAAGTGAGAATTGAGGATGATACAAAGATAGAGGAATCAACCTTGAATGAAGGTCCTCTGTTTGCATTTTGCGGGAATAGATATACAAAGGTATCCGCGTAGTCATCCCATAGTTCATCAACCTATATGAGAATGGGTATTTTAGAAAATCGGGATATTTAGCCGAGGAGCAACCGGAAAGTAAATTTAGGTCGAAACTAACCTTCTCCCCGTTCAGCAGAGGATTTATATCATACTCAATATCCCTCCCAGCAATCCATGCCCGCATAGACGGCTCGCGTTGATTTAAGTCGACAGACGATAAGCGGCCTTTCCCAGGCAACCAACTCCGACCTTTCGAGGACTTGGGATCTGTGTTGACGGCGGAGAAAAGCCCTGATCTGGATGCAGGCCGTGAAAATCCAGTAGCCATATTTGAAAGCCCACCGCTCCAGCTCATGCGCCGTTCACTTGTTGAGTCGGATAGATCGGCGTTCAAGGTATTGAGGGGCGGCGGTGGGAGCAGTATTCCATCGTTGTCGTTAGCGGGTTCTTGGGCAGGAAGAGGAGCGGACACGTTTCTATTCGATGGGAGAACACCTAGAGAATTTGCCGAAAGGTGCTGGGCAGAGGTAGCATGACGAAGGCTACGGCCTGTGGAGGTTTTGTTTTGCTGCGGATGTAGTTGACGCTGGTCGCGGACAGGAGTTTCGTGCGGAGGAGGGGCTTTTTGAAGGGCAGATTGGCGGGAAACTTGCACGTCCTGGTCGGAGTTATCTTTGGAGGAACCCAGCGAGAAGAGAGAGGACAGCCGCTTGGCAGATTTCACTGGTATAGATAACATTGCTGATTTGACTATGGATGAGGAATTATTGAATATAAGGTAGGACTGTGGAAGAGAAGGCAAGGAGGCGGTGGCACATCGAAAACGAAGCACAAGGCAATAGTGCCAAAACGTCACTGAAACATCCAATCGGGGCGGCAGGGGCCAAAAGAGATCAGAAAAGAAGTTTCAAGATCATAAGATATAAAGGACCGACGGAAAATAAAACAAGGGGCGCAGAGTCGATTCCTAGGATGTACGTACGGTGACTCTGAAGTTGGAAGAAAAGGAGGAAGAAGTCGGAAGAAACAATGATATAAAAAAAATCGCAAATGAACAACAAACAGTGGCCCCCAAGCCGTTTGTCCCAGGACCAGAACCACCTCTTACCAGCAAATCGGGATCCTTGGGCTTTATTAGTTTCTTTTAGGCCCTCTTTACTACTCCACTTGACTGGCCCCGCCTCAAACACTGCCTAGATACATTTTTCTCTCGTATTCCCGCACATTACCTCCTTGGGAATCCACTTGCTCCTGAGCTTCAGCTTCTTCCTCCTCCTCCTCCTCCTCCTCCAGTTCTTTTCTTCTTTTCTGACACCTGATACATCAGCTGATTGACTAGTTACGGGATTGTTTATTCAAGTTTCTCGACTCCCGAAACACGAATGATAAAAGGATGTCCAGGATTTGGCCATCCGGATCCGTTGGTCGACAAATCAACAAAATTCAAGCTTTTATTCGATGGACTTCCCGACTTAGCCTAAAATTTAAAGAAAATAAATGGGGGCAAAAGATATAAAAATAAATGACCAGAGTGAGCACATCCCAGAATCTGCGATTCTCTGCCGTTCCTCAGTCAACAAGTTGAAACGAAGCATGCTGTCGTCAATCCTGAAATTCTGCGTTTAATTTATGCAGGAAATCAATTCTGCGTCCAGATATATGCGGGGTGTCGTCAGGTAACCAACAAAAGAGGAAAGCGGAATAGCCATGCATCCCTTATTGCAAATTTGCAAGACACTCGAGCGATATTATTGCCACTTCACCACCAGCGCAGAAACCCTGCAAATTGGGCCTGCATGATTGGCGTGAGTCCGCAAGGTGAGGCTCAGCAACCTGACCAGCTGCCCACTAGCCCGCGCTCTAGTGCCTGGAATGTGCTTGAATTTTGGGCCTTTGCTCGGTCAGGCAGCATTTCTTTGGGGGCCACCTCGGTGATACCTGCTGGTCTTAGTGGTCTGAAAAGATGTTGTGAAATCCTGCTGCTGCAGGGTCCCTGGGACAACAGGCAAGCCGTCAACAACGGACAGATATTGTTTGTCTGCGAAAGCTGTCGGAGGTGTGTGTTGGTCTGAAAAATGACGGGCGTTCACTCCCAGCGCCATCGCGTCGTTGACAGTAAATTGGCGGATGAAATTCTACACTTGCCCAGAAGGGGAATCTGATTGTGGCTGATTTTGCTCGTAAGTTCGAGCCCCTCTTTGGACCACTTCGCATTTGAATTCCCCAATCAGTGTCTTTCCTCGGACAAGACCGTTGCTCAGCCCGTCAGATTTTAACTTCGCGAAACCAAGCAAAATAAGCACCTTATCTTCGCTGATTTCCGCCATCTTGGCGTTGGCCAAGCCTGTCAAACCAGGGGTTTGAGTAGGGATCTGGGATCCAACAAGCCAAGAAAGTAGCTCTTCAGCGGGTGATTCTTTGCTGCCTCTGCCTCTAACTCCCCCTCACAAACTCCAGAGCATATCATCCAGGTGACAAATTTACCCGCGGCTCCGGGAGAGGAATATTCCAACAAAATGGCGGCTGTGGTATCAACTAGTTATGATTTTTACTTTACCAGCCCTTCAGGAACCATTGGAGTGTGCCAGATCCTGGCCCCTGAGGAAAGCATAGAACCACCACTCGAAATAGCCTGAGTGCTCCGTATCCAAATTATCATGCAAGAGTCTGCTCTTTGCGAAGGGTCCAAATTACATTCAGGCTTAGTACCAGAAAACTGAGTAAGCGGGATTAAATACGCCCTACAAGGCACGCAGCGGCTGTGGAGAGTTTCCAAAGTAACCTCATTCAATCGCCGTTATGGGAGAAAGTCGCGTGACAGGTGCCATAGCCGCTCTTTCACTCTTTCCCCAGCTACTCAGTGATGAGGCCAGTTCATTTGGGGAATTTTGACTTGCGCCGCCCATTCTTCCAAAATACAACCCTCGCCCAACAAAAACCTAAACCATAACTAACTAAGAATTGGTTTAGAGAAGGAATGTAATTTCCAGTGATTTGTAGTCACTGTCAAAGGGGTTGCTGATGCTTTAGGTTTATACAATAGCACAAGTTGATTCACTGGTGGTTAAAAATAGATAGCTGACAGCTATATCAATCTGTTGAACTACTTGAAAGCAACAGCGGTTTGAGAGCAGCAGTGCTGCATCTCCTTGTGCTGTGAACAGGAAAAGACAGAGTTGTACTACTGTCAGTGACGGTTGTCGCATGATACGACTGACTCCATACAATGAAGTATTCAGTGTGTTTATACGGCATTTTTTCAATAATGGATAATAACAGCTTCACTAGCCCAGTTCTGTCTCGCCATTCCCATCAGACAGAACAGACTGTTAAAAATTTGTGGAGAAATAAGAGAGCTTGAAGTCTGACAATTCAGAGTCTTGGTTGGCAAGTGAGCTGTAGAATGTTCGTTTGAGGAGAGGGGATTTTTGCACTTCTTCAGATCACTGTGAGGGACCGTTGATCAACACCCCAGTAACAATTGACTACGCCAAGATGTCTATTTTATATTCGGCACAGCGTGAGAAGTCGACACCATAAATTCCGGAAACATAGCGGGATAATTTTAAACCGGTGCACTGTTCCTGGTCAAGCTGGTTTCCACACCACTCAACCCACTACTATTTCCAAAAAAAAAAAAAAAAAAAAATCATTTCCCTTCACGGGTTCTTATCCAAGTTCCGTGTCGCTCAAGAAGGCAAAAGTTGGTTACTTGCAGTCGACAGTCGAAAAGCAGAGTCCAAGTCTCAAATGTTATTGGCTCTTCTATTTACAACCTGTTCGATAGTTTCCTTGCCCTGGGTATCCGCAAGCCCCAAACAACCCCCTTCTTGCACAAAACAAAGAGGATAAATAAAGGACGGCAGCATCAAAATGCTAATTAGAAATTAAAAATAAAGATACCGAAATACCCCGCGGCGATATTCGGAGACAGGCCCTTACTGGGTATTTACTATATAATATGATATTTCCCGTTTTTAGTAACATGTTTAACCCTTATCCAGGCATCCCCCTGTATCGCGAGTAGTTGGCTCCCAGCCAGCTCAATGAGATTTGGATGTTTAAACGTTCCAGAGGCCCAGCTCGCTCAAGTTCACCATCACGATTTGCTATTTTCTCATATCATATCAAATTCGTCCGACCACCCCGCAGCTACTATCAAACGGACAGGATAATGACGATGACTCCAAGATGTGTACAGAGCATTCACCAATACCAACCACCAAGCTGATCCGCATGGATTTAGGAAGTGAGCAAACCATATCGTTAACGACAATGAGGCATGAGACGGGGCGTGTCTTGTTCGACAGGTATGTAAGTCGCCAACCGCAACTTTGTGTTCGGCGATTTTGTCCCAATGTGGCTCTGTAGATTAAGGAATGCTACTCCAAATCCAAATCCACCAACCAAGAAATGGCGGTCATTTAAGAGGAAAGATGCTATCACAATTAACTATTATCATCAACTTTGTACATGATACTATTAGGGTATCTGAAAAGGGACACATGTTCTATGGCATAAAACTGAGATACACGCTGGATTTTCCACCCCCTAAGCTTCTCTTCCCTCAGCATCACTTCAATATCCGGGCCGAAGGAAAAAGCACAAAACACGGTAGCAGCTAGATCTCTATCCCCACCAACGACTTATCAGCTGGTCAACAGCGTACTCCTTGGGCCATACACCAATTGAAGCTGGCAGGAAAGACCACCAGTCATTAAACTCACTTTTAGGCCCAACAGTATGTAGAGCTTTCACATACTCCCAGTAACTAGGATAGTAGCCACACATTTCCCAATCAATCACGCCAGTAACTTTAACCCAATCCGTAACCGGCTTCGACAGGGGCGCCTTGTGCTTCATAGAAATCATGATATTCCGAGGGTGAAGGTCACCGTGGGTCATAACCATTTTATGGTCAGAGAGGAGAAATGAACGAATCATTTTCACCCACCCTGTTTCCGTACGCCTTGGGTCTGTGGTAAGAAATTGATTGAACTCAGCCTCATTGGCGATGGAGTGCTCTGCAACCCGTATCTCCCTCCTTGCATCTTTGCATCTTCTCGGGGCGCCGCCACCAAGAATGGCGTCTGCCGATGAAGAAGGAGGTGCTGGTATTGATCTGATGCCAAAAAACATAGACTCTAGCTGCTCCTTGATAGAGTCTTTCTGAGACCTGTTCAGCAACTTCCAGACTCGATCAAGAGGTTCACCTTCAAACCGGGTCATAAACACAAAACAACGCTGCCCAGCCTGAAGCACCCCATGTATATCTGGTGCGCGAAGTTGGGGAACTCGGTCCTTGATATAGTTCATGGTCGAGATGTGCTCGATGTCGAGGCCAAAGCCAGATTTCATGACTATCTTTGAGCTGAGACCGAGTATAACTGTAGAGCCAAGCTGCCAGACAACATCGCTCTGGACTATTGCTTGGTTAAGCCGCTGGATAGTTGCCGAAAGACTCCTTGTCGTGGAGGGCTCGAGCCCATTCGAGGACAGGGAGGAGATATTTAGTAAAGCAGGGCTGAGTTCGTGAAGCACTTCAGCGTCCAGGGGAATTTGTGAAGTCAAGCGGCGATCGCGGCTCTCCATGATGATGGCCTGCAATCTCGTGGTGGAAAGAGGTGATATATTGTCTCACTTTCCAGTTTGCTGTCTACGAGGTTCAAGTTGCGACTTGTTGCTGGATAATATCGTAGGATGAGACGGTCACATGACCAGTCAGGCGCTGAACCTTTCATCTGTTGGATCTGAGCGTTCCTGTTACGGACTAGCGCCCTGCACCCAGCATATATCTCACCCACTAGATAGCAACCAATACAACCACTCAGACATCCAGCATCATTTACATTGAGCTGACTGTTTCTCAGTGATTGACAGGCACTTTATGAGTTGCACACTTGATTGAGCAATTGCTTTGTTGAGATTGAGTGATGTTTTGCTACACTTACAACTGTCTTACAACTCTGAGTTAAAGCAGCTCATCTTCAGAGCTCCTTCAGAACTAGTGCCAGCAGAGTATTTTAGGAAAACCCAGATTCCCTTTTCACTATAGTACGTAGAAGCGAACGTATAACTCGGGGGATATTAACGTGTACTAGTACCCTGAAAAGAAGAACCCCAATGCATGAGTTGATATTGGCCCGAAGAAGACTAGCGCGGTCGTGACCACAAACACTGATAAGAGTGCGTTTAATCGCCCTTATCAACCTGAAATTCTACATGCATCGAATCCATTTTGATCAAATGGAGGTAAAGACTCCTACCTTCGTATAAATCAATGTAAAATACATCATTTCTGTAGATTGATACTAGTATCGTCAATTGCTTTACCTTAAGAAACTCTGCGCTAGGTACGAGAACCCACCTCATCGCCTCCCCCCACAAGAAGAAAGACACAGGAAAATGAAAAGTGAAATGCAAATAAACCTACTTCGAGGATGGCCAAACCCCTCCCTCCATCCTATGCCTGCCCTCTCCTCCGCCGCGACAGCCATCCTCTCCAACCCGCTCCTCTCCACTCCGGCTCTCAACTATGGGCCAGATGATGGAGATCCCTCCCTCCGCGCTGAGATCGCCCGCTGGCTCTCTGACTTCTACTCCCCGCCGTCCCCCGTACCAGCTTCCCGCATCTGTATCACCGGTGGAGCCAGCCAGAATCTCGCCTGTCTACTCCAGGTATTCTCTGACCCGCTGTACACTAAGAATGTATGGATGGTGGCGCCGACGTATCACTTGGCTTGTAGAATTTTTGATGATGCGGGGTTTGCGGGGCGGTTGAGGGGGGTGAGGGAAGATGAGGAGGGGTTGGATGTAGCGGAACTGGAGACGGGCTTGGAGAGGAGTGAGGAACGAACAAGAGCTGAATGGAAGCGGGTGGGCGACTGGAATCGAAACCAGGGCGAGGAAAATCTTGAACTGGTATGCTCTGCCCGGAGCTCCTAAGAGCGCTACTCTTCTTTCTTAACCTCAGAGTCATTTGCGTCCCCAGTGTGAAGCCCTTGCTCATTTTGCATTCTTCCATTGAGAATTACAGAGATGCGCCTTCAAACCTTCCCGTCCTTGGCGAAAGCTGTATAAGCATATCATCTACACAACCCCTACATTTTCAAACCCTTCGACAAAGATAATGAGTCTGCGGCGTCGGGAAGAGCTTGTCCGGCTTGCGAGAAAATACGACGCCCTAATCATCTCCGACGACGTATACGATCATCTTCAATGGCCTGCTTTTCCATCCGTATCGGCTAAGGAAAAATATCCACACAAAGCCGTTGTTTCTCGTATCGTCGATGTTGATCGATATCTCGATGGCGGGCCATCAGGAGAGTTCGGAAATGCCGTTAGCAATGGCAGTTTTAGCAAACTCATCGGCCCTGGATGTCGCGTTGGCTGGGCGGAAGGGACTGAAAAACTTGTCTATGGTCTGTCACAGGTGTATGTGTTGCACATGAACATCCACAGTTCATATATTAAAGAATTCGTTTGTAAAGAGTTAGCAAAATATATTATTCCGAGACAAGCCTAGCTAACCATGGCTTATGTATTTATGCACGGAACAGTGGCTCCTCGCGTTCGGGTGGCTGTCCCTCGCAGTTCACATCAACTTTCATCCGCGAGCTACTAGCTTCAAACGCACTAAAAACGCATATCAGAACCATCCTGCAACCTGCGTATTCAAAACGCTACCACACCCTCACGACAGCCGTGCAAAAACACCTCGTCCCTCTCGGCGTGTCGTTGCCAACTGGTCCAGCAAATGAAACTTCCACTGACGCCGTGAGAAATGGCAGCACGATCAGCGCTTGTACCAACGGTAAGGGTGCTATTGCAGGCGGTTACTTCCTTTGGCTTCGCCTCCCACCCGGCCTGAGAGCTAGCGACCTAGCGAAGAAGGCGCATGAGGAAGAGAATTTGATTATTGCCAATGGAAGTTTGTTTAAAGTTGTTCGCGAGGGTCCTGGAGACGGCAATGGTGATGGTGGCGGAGAGAAGGAGCCGGAAGATTTTGAGGGGTTTGTGAGGTTGTGCTTCGCGTGGGAGGAAGAAGAGAAGTTTGATGAAGGGGCAGCGAGACTTGCGAGGTTGATTCGGAGGGAAATGCATAGAGCAGATTCGTAACTAACAATATAAATTGCAACTTAACTACTTTCAGACAGCCTTCATTTCTTTTCGGTCCTTGGTTTGTCGCCTGCGCATTAGCTGCTTGCCGTTCCAACACGAGGTCCCTGATACTATCAACACTAACTACATGATAACCTCCTGCAACAAGGTGGATTGTGTCTCTGCCATTGCCGTAAAGAGCCGGATCTAGGCTCGCTTGAGCATGTTCTATTTGGTAATCTCACCCCATTGAAAATCCACAATACGTGAATGGACTCCTGTTTTCAAAGCATAGATCTATCCCTTGACGGGGTATCCGCCCATTCTCCCTGTTCTATGATCGCTATTTGCATTAATTTATCCCCCTTGCCCTTGGGCTCTTGAAGCCTATTGAGGAGAGCAGTGTTAGGCATATACGATCTACCTACTGTTCACATCCTTAAATCTACTGAGAGGAGCCTCCGTAGTTCGTTCTCAGAAGGACCGTCCTCCAACATGAGAGCCGAAAAATCACGAATCGCTCCTGGTTCATTATTACCATTAACGATCATGCCAGAAGGGAATCATATGTATATATATTTGGTTTCTTCAAGAGTGTGAGGATAACAATGACACCCCTCGTGAAAAAAAATAACCAAAAAAGGAGTTTCGGCAGAACATTAAATAACACACTCGTAGTGATGCTATATCCCAAGCCTCATGAAGCGGGACCTTGTTCGTATCACCCTGTTTACAAGGTGTATCTAAACTCCGGGTTATCGCCAATGATTTTTTTCACCTCGATCAGCTTTGCTATTTTGCCACCTGAAATACAAAGTCATGGTGCAAATTGTGACGATTACACAGGCACAAGCACTGGATGATGAAAATGCAGTGGTTAGCAAAGGGGCCATGGGTGAAACGGATTATGCGTAGAGAATACTCAGGATGCAAAGAGACGGTGTACTCACTACTAATATTGTATATAATCTTCCCAGTCAAGTATAGATTACCTAAATAGGAAATCTATTTGCCTTCAATTAATTGTTTTTTTTAATAAATATTTGATGGGTATAAAATGATGAATAGGGGGTGAGTAGGATTTTGACGTTCGGGGGGTCAGAACGCCCAGACTGTTTTCCTGGAACTATAACTGCCACTCGCGAACGCACAAAAGAATGCCGCAAGTTAGTGATATCAAGCTTGATTTAGTTGATATAATAAAACTACCAAAAAAGGCGTGCTCCCTTATCATCCATCTTCCATCTGGTCATAAACCAAACAAATAAAGACCAAGCGCTGATGTATCAGTCCAAGTTAACTCTTGGGAAGGCTGTTGCCCAAGTCGGCCCTCCTGGAACTCGGAAGCATTTCTCTGGTTATTCATTTCTCTGATTATTATTGGACAGGATCGCCTAGCCGTTGAGCCCTGACGAACTTTCCAGACCCTGCGGACTGCACCCGTGGGCCGTGGAGTATTTAAACTTTCTGGGGAGCTTGGGGCCGCGAAGATTGATGGTGCCATCAGGCTCCCCGGAAAGTCTCCAGGCTTTTGGTCAACTGTCAACCACGGAAGCACCAATGTTAGCATATCGGTTGAGAAGGGGTAAAGAGGCGGTCACTGGGTATCAGACTTGCAGTTGCGACATCGCGTTTTCGAGAGCGCCCTGCGGGTACAACCACGAGAGTTTGGCAACTAGTCCACTCTGTGGCAACTTGCATCGGGTGTTCATCAAAGGCTGGGCTTAATACCAATGGCAGGCATTCAATATTTAACCCGTAGAAACCAAACCGGATATGCAGAGAAATGGCTGGTCAGGGTGGCGGTTGAAATGCCTGTAATATGTTTGAAACTGGACGACGATCATGACAACAATTAGCTAGACAGCTGGAAGTAACGGAAAAATGAATATAATTCAGCCAAATGAAGAGATATACGAAAATGAAACGACCTTGCCAAAGCTTATGCCGGACATGTACTGGACTATCTGCGCACACCGACGGGGACCCCGATGCTCCGATTCCAGATTATGGAAACATCAATTGTAGCCATGCGTTGCCACATTTCCTACAAAGGAGATAGTTATGAATACAAATACAGCAAAGACACTCTCACTAGGTCATCTTTTCGAAGCAAATACCTCCCCCACCACAAGGTCAATAAATCAGTTTTGGCGTCTCAGAACTGGAGATAAACCGTCTGAGTTATCCTGCATTTAACCTCCAGCTCCCTTGTTGGCGCTTGACTTATTGCCGCATAAAAAAGAAAAGCAAGACAGAAAGAAAATTGTCGAATCTGCTTCGAATATTTCATAGTCAGGAAAAGGTGGGAATGCACTTGAACGATCTTGTTGCCTGAGGTGGTTAGTTGTGGGTAGAGTGGATTTGCCAGTTGGAGGCTTGGATTCCAGTTCCCCAGCCTCTCCTCAGATAAGCATTGGTTGTCATAACTGGAAAAGTATAGGGGATAGGGGAGCCAACCAAGATACCAACTCTGAACACCGCATTTTCCAAATGCAATGGATCTGGGGAAACGGAAGCCAGGGGCCCGAGTTTATTAGGGGGGAGGATAGGGAGGCGGATCAAATCGCGGTTAAAATGGCCGAGTAGTACTCAGCCAGATAGAAGGCCAGATATCCATTCAAGTCTCGAACAAGGGAACTTGAAGTCAAGAGGATATGGCGATCCCTGCAGCCAAAACTAGTATTGCTGTACCAACATAGGAAAATCACTCATGTATACATGCCCACCTCTACCTACCTCCAGGGACAACCAGTAACGATATATGATATCAGGTGGCCGGGCTCTGCACACTTTTCGGATTCCCACTGGAAGGAAGCAGGCGAGATAAAGAAGAGACGTGTCTCGGAAGCGCGTGTTTTTTTGGGGATGGATGAAAAAAATAAAACATAAAACATAAAAAAGGTAGAAAAGGAAAAAATCATGACAATTCTCTTTTTCCTTTCTTGGTGGAAGACAAATTTCAACTTTATTAAACAACCTATACAATGTGCGAGCGGGTGAAACCGCATCTATGGGAATTTTGCCCGCTATTTCTAAACTAATCCGCCCACCTGGCACTCACAAAGTGTATATATATATATATGTAAACTAGCATGTGCATTTCTTTCCCTATCTTTTTTGTTTTTGTTTTTTTGGGCGGTGGCACAAACATCGAAATCGAAATAAGAGAGGTTACAAAAACATGATCCTATACCTCATTCACTCGCCTGCTCGAAAACGGCCAGGGTGGAGCAGAAGTTATTCCGATTGTCAATCTGCTTCACCAGTCCTTGACCCCCATTCGTTCTCGTGATCATGTTTGTGCTGGCCTTGGTGCTGATGCCGAACAGATGCACAGGCGAACAGTCCACCTCAATCATGTTTTCCTGGCAGGATTCCGTGGCCAGGCATTCTTGGCTGTAGTTCTCGAAGAAGCTATACAGTCCGCCACCGTAGATGAACACGTCGGTAGAGTCGAGGATTCGCAGACCCCAGGCTTTCCTGCACGCGTCCGTCTTGCAATGGGAGTAGTCTGGGTCGTGGAAGTCTGAGTTAGGCTTGAAGGGGACCAGAGCGTTTGGATTGGCTTGATAGTACGGGGTTTCCACCTGGATCAGTGCCATGAAAACGTTTTTGGCGCCGACAATGGAGTACTGGTAGAGTTGGGAGTGTTCGCTCGCGGAACCGTAGAGCCATACTGGTCCAGTGCTTTCGATCAGGAGGCCACGGCCATTGTAGATATTAATCTGTCCATGATCGGCCAAATCCAACTCATGATCCGAAACCCATAGCCAATTATTTTCAAAATATCCGGAAGCCTCCTTTGTGATGTGCATGAGCATGAAGGCACCGACGCATTTGGGGTCCGGTACGGTTTTGCTCTTAGGAGTCTTGGCGCAGTGGTCGCTCTGGAGTTCCGTACCGGCGGAACCTCCAATTCTCATGTGCACGTCCCACATTCCGACGGAACCTTGCGTTGTTTCAGCAACATTCCACTCGACCAGGATGGCGCCGGGTGCGGGTCCTTTGGTTTCAAGCACTAGGTCGCTAATTTCAACATTGCCCTTGTCGCCTTTCTGTCCAACTTGAAGCATTGGGATGGGCTTTGATTCGTCAGAGAAGGCGGGTCCAGATGCCATGAGCAGCGGCCAGATTTCACCGGTGATCTTGATTTCCTTGGGCACTTTGATTGTGGAAGTAATGACATAAGCTCCATGGTCGAAATATACGATCTGCCCTGCTTGCGCGCTGTCTAATGCTGCTTGGATTGCTTTTGTATCATCAGTTACTCCATCTCCTTTGGCGCCGGCGCCCTTGACGCTGATAAATGACCCTTTGGGGACGCCCTCATATTGTGGCTTTGTCCGCTCAAATACCTTTCCTGATGGGTCCAGGAGAACTGCTGGTTTAGCGGGACTACTGATCCTGGAACTGATTCGAGCCTTCTTAGGAGGCGCTGTCGGACATGCTGCGGGTGAAGTTTCTGTTGGCGAGGGGGTGGGTGATGGGGGGACAGAAGACGAAACAGACGATGGGGATACCGTTGGCGACTTCGACTCCGTACCCTCTGGCTTGTCTTGCGATGGCGTTGGATATTTACCAGTAAACGGTGGCGGTAGAGGCGATGGGGTAGGCGCTTGGGAAATTGGAGCCGGTTGAGGTGGAGGTGGGTAGCGGGCTTTGCACGAATCCCGCTTGATTATACGTTCCACCGTATAAACAGGAACTGGTCCCTTTACTCGAGGTTCGGGCTCCCTCTTAGAGTTCTGGATAGTTGCGTATGACCCAGAGGTGAACGCATTACCCTGTGCCCATGAGGAGACAACCGAACCTCCTTTGAGAACAACTGAACCATCAAGATGGGCAACTGCAACATCCGAACCCGTGAAGTCGACATTATCGAGGATGAGGGTTCCGCCTGTTTCAGGAACACTCTTATCATTGTAAGAGGTGACGACGCCCTTCGGAGTACCGATAAATTTACTATCGAGGATCAGAACCGAGCCTACGGTCTGGTTAAAGCCGCCATTGGACATGTTCAGACCGACGCCACAATTGTTGACGGTCACCGATTTGAATGTCCATGCCCAGTTCCAGTTCATAAACACTGCTGTATTGCAATTCGTGAACGTGAGGTTGCGAGTAGTAAACTGCTGGTTGCCCAAAAAGGCGCCGTAGTTACCGCCATTGAAAACAAGGTCTGTCATGAAGCCTCCGGAGCCATTATCCATAAAAATACCCTGTTGTCTATTGGCTTCACCACCACCTTGGACCATCTCGAAACGGATGTTCTGCAGGCTGCTAGCTTGCGCCACTTGCCAATAAAAATCGCGTACGCTAATCCGGGAATCGTTATCAGCGTCGCGATAAACCAGATCGAAGCATATGAGAACTTGATTGAAGTTGTACCAGTTAGTACCCTGGTCAGTGTACGGATCAGCATCGATGACGGCAATCCCCTGAAAGGAGGAGGCAGCCTTGATGACGGGCAGATTCAAAGCATCACCAACGAGTTGGGTGTAGTAATACTGAATAATTGGCTTGGAGACGACATATGTGCCTGCTGGGAAATAGACTATGGCAGGGGTCACAGTGGAAGAATCGCAACCCAATCCACATCGATTTCCCGTTGAGATAGCTTTGTTTATCGCCTCAGTATCATCTGTGGTACCGTCGCCTGTGTTTACGCATGGAAGGTCAGCAATGGTTCACTATTCACGGAGCGGAGAAACGCGTCCAACAGCGTTCAAACAATACCTTTTGCACCAAATTCTTTAACGTTTCGGTAGACCTGATACTCGCCACTTGCCGTTCTGAATGCAGGGGAACCTCTGCGGTCAATGGATCCCACCCAGAAGCCTGATGCCTGAGGAGTAGGGTTTCCCTGGGGCATAGGGATAGCATTGGCAAGACTAGTCAACCCCCCCAACAACAGCCATAGATGGGTGACGACCCAGAGGACTGATGATGATAACATCATCGTGTTGTGACCAAGAGGCCAGGGAACACTCGAAGCTGAACACGGAAGCAAAAGTAGTTAGGAAAACGTGAGGATTGGGAGACAAAAGGTTCCAGTGCACAGCACCGGGCGATTAAGTATGTAAACAGTTGGGAGCTAAACGACAGTGTGATTGAAAGCGGACATGGATAGAGAGTGTGAGAAGCGAATGTGGGAGGATTTTGAGGAAAGAGGATGAATCTGAAGGAGCGCAGGAGAAGAAGAAAAGAAAAGAAGAGAAGACAAGTGTTGGTATCAAGAGCAGGCTGTCTGGAGGATGCGGGGAGGCCGTGCACCACCAGGGGGAAGTTCCGTCAATAATGCGATTGTTAGTCAAAGAACAACCACTGTGGATCAAGCAGCAGAAACACTCAACGAAGACACCCACTGCACACAAAGAACAGAAGTCAAGAGAGCGAGCGGGAGGGAAGCAGTAAAAAAGAATGCCTGCATCGGAATGGAAGCTGAAGTACTCACTCCTATATAAGTCTGTATTGTCTGTATCACACCGGTACCTGGCGGCGCGGTACCAGGCACGGCGCTGAGCTTATCGCTGATTCGCTGCGTAATTCGGTGACAGAACCGCGGCCCCTGGAAGCTTAGCTGCGCCCAGCCAGCGCCAGCCACCATCAACCACTCACACAGGGCGCCCGAGCCCTAGCTGCGACACTCCCTGGAACAGCGCGAAGGGACCTGTTTCGAGTTTGCCGTGATGAAACAGCGTCGGTTGATGACTGTTGATGAGAGTGCAAGGTATGGAAATGAGCAGGAGAGAGCCGGATTTATTGGTAACATGCCAACGAGAGGAGTGTACTGGCTGATTGACTCACTTGTTGGGCTGCTTCAATTTATATCAGTCGTCTATCCCTTTTCACTTCCAATTTGCGGGACGGCTCTGCGGGAGTTGCCCCACGCGCCCAACCATGGAGTATCAGATGAACAGAAAACTGCCCTGCTGATATGTTCCAGCAGACACACAAGGACGGAGTACAGCGTACACATTGGGATGGCCGGCAGTCTTCATACGGGCAGGCAGCCTCCTAGGTAAGCCGAGCCCAATAGTCGTGGAGGATAGTGCGCCATCCAAGATCTATTTTTTGTCTCTCCCTAACGGGTCCTCCGCATTTATTTTTCTGCAAGCATGGGTGAAATCATAATACAAATATCCAGGTTCTTGGTAATAAGCAAAGTCGGGCGATCGGCAGCCCCAGGATTTTAGCACGCGCCACCATGAGGGCTAATTGCTTTCTAAACTCGCGCCGGTCGCCGGTTGCCAGTTAGCCCATAAACCGGCCAGGGGAAAACCATCGATCGTCAATGCCGGTTGGCTGGATTCCACTAGAAGATACGGGGGGAAGGGGGATAACCGATGATTCAAGTTGGTGAGATGTTGTCGCCCTTTTAACATTTTCAACAACCGGAACCTCCTCCATATGTACAGATCTGTACATACTCAGATGACATCCCCTCCCCGCGTCAATCACGATGACCTTCCCAAGGACCCAAGGTTACAGAGATCTACGGGAGGCTGCACAACATAAAGTCAGTTTATGCCTTCGAACTCTCTCGATCGTGGGTGTACCCAATTAGGCGGCGCTGAAATCGAACATAAAATGTGGCTGGTCCATCTCAGCACCCCTCGAAACGGGACTGCGGAAAGCTTCAAGGGAGCCAGAACAAAACAAAAATGATCAAGGGATCCAAAAATACCACTAGTGTTATCAATACAAGGCAAGAAGGAAAAATCCTCTGTGCCGGACATGCAGAGTCGCAGAGGAAAATCTCAACATATCACAAGGGCTCGATCGATCGATTTCCCAGGAGGAGGTATCATTTTTTTTTTTTTTTTTTTCAGCACTTGCAGCAATTGCCAATAGTAAGACTCCATGAAAAAGCATCTTCTGATCGAACGGCTGCACACGGTGTTGTCTGCAAAGTTCATACGAAGTCCCTAGCATCACAGGCATCTGGTCGATGCTGATTTAATATCATCCCCAAGCGTCGATGAAGAGACCTTCTGCCTCTCGACTTCAACGGACCGAGGAGAAATATCAAACCAAAAAAAACCAAAGTAGAAAAACCCCATGCCTCGAACAGGTCGACGACCACGGCCCGCCTGGGCCCTTTCTCTCCCGTTAGTTAGCGGACATAAGCAAGTGACAACTAGAAAATTCATGCACATTTCCAATCCCCCATCTCCCATTTCCTTTCATGAAAATCTCCTTCAGGACCGCGAATCGGAAAAGTTGAAACATGGATGTTCATTCAAATGATGAGAGATGATTTTTGTTCTAATCCTACCTCTATTAATGTTTTACCTTTTTATTCATTTATTATTATTATTATCAACTCCTTCCAAGAACTTCCGAGGGCATCAGAATTTCATGAATAAGGGTCATTTTTTATCTGGAATGTTTCGTGTCTCTTGTTTTGATTCACTGTGAATATATATTTATTTGTTTGTTTTGGACGACCCCGCGTTCATAATTCTTTCCCCTCGTTTCAGGGTAGAAATGTTCTCTCTCTCTTTTGTTTCTACGATCTAGGGAACGGAATGTAAGTATCATCCTCTTTTCCATGAAGTCACTCTGAATTTTTTAGGAAATATTGCCGATTTTTACACTCAGATGTTTCGTTTGAGAAGGCTAGAAGTGTAGTTGGCAGAGTGATGGAAATTCGGGGCCGAAAATGATAGTGTTAAGCTTGGAGCAAGGAAAATCGTGTGTGTAATTCATCAAATTTTCATTCAATATAACCTAAATCCATTCTCGATCAATGACCCCATTACAACTACCAGAGGGTATCAATGATAAAATTTCATTCAATGCCATGCCATTTCCCATGCTTATCTCCTGTTTCACATGCAAATAACCAACGATCGGAAAATACAGGAACAATAATGACATCGATGAGAAGTATAGTAAAAAAGAAAACACAACAGAATACGAAAAAACTAAAATGGAAACGAACATAGAAAATCCCGAATGGGATATCAGAGATATGAAGGCTACGGGTATTTGTTAGTCCACATCCACGGCAACATAGTCCCTCTCCTCCTCTTCCGACCGAACACTGGGGCTTGGCGGCGACCGTCGACCAGCTGTCACACTGCGCGCCTCCGAAGCCTCATTCTCGGAATCAATCTGCATAGCCTGGGACTCGATGCCGGTTTCCTCCTTCTCACTAGTATATGCACTTCCCGCATCCGCCTCAGACGCGCGGCCATTCTCATCCCTAACCTGATCCACCGAGATTCTCCGTTTGAGCGAGTCCCTGTCGACAACTACCTTCGGCACAGTGACGACGAGGACACCATCAAGCAGCTTCGCACTGATGTTGTCCGCGTCGACATGTGCGACGGGCCGGTCGCGGGATCCAAGGCTGATCTCCCGCTCAAAGACGCCGACTTCGCGAGATCGCCCGTCGACGACGAGGGCGTTGCTGAGCTCCTCGTCCACGTTGGGGCGGTACACCACGCCCGCGAGCAGGAGGGTGGAGGTCTCGGCATCGTAGTCGACCGAGATGTCCTTCTTCTGTGCGCCGGGGAGGGAGACGTGGATGATATATTGGGCCGCCGTGTCGAAGACGTCGGCGCGGGGCACAAAGTCCACCTGTTTGTCGTCGGATCGTCCAGCTGAGGCGCCGTTGACTAGGTTGAACACTTCGCTGATGTCAACGCCGAATTGGTTGGAGAAGTTATTGATGAACTGCTGGAGGAAGTCCGGCGGTGTTCCTGCTGGCTGCCCGGGGCCGGGTCTGCAGTGGCGCTGTCGGCGATGAGGACCCCAGGCAGCATGTCCAGCATGTCCCCAAGGCCCACCGCGGCCACGATGGCATCCGCGGCCACGGAATGGAAGATCCCTGATGTTTTCCTCCTGCTCAGGCTCTCTAGCGCTGCTTTCGTCAGCCCCACCGGCACGGGGTGGGGAACGGCTATTGTCGTTGTCAGGGGCGTTCTGGGCTCCTGACTCCGGTGGGGTAGGTTGGTTTGTGTTCTGGGTTCGTTGGTGGTGATGGTGATGCCGATTTACATGTTCAGCATAAGCGTGGGGCATCTGCTGGGGAAACATGTGAAGTCCATACTCCCCTAGATCCGTCAAGACGTTCCATAATGGGTGGGGCTGCTGGTTGAGGTAGTAGATGTTTGTCATGTTGGTTGATCGAGATTTGGTTAGGCTGTAGAAGTATATAACAAAAGATTGGGAGGTATCAGGAATAGTGTTTTTTGTTTGTCTTTCTTTACGTATGTCTAGAATCAAGGGGGAAGAGAAGTAAGGACAAAGGATTATGAAAAAAATATATAAAAAAACGATAAATAGATATATGAAGCATGGTATATATAGACCAGAATTGAAGGCAGCTTCTTAATTACGTGTCGTACGGCTTACAATTTCACATTGTTAAGCAGTGCTCGAAGTATCGAGAACAACCCAGAAAATATAGTACAGTACATCCATTGTCTCGCAAATGATAAGAGTGAGCAAGTATCCCACCCCCCCGGTTTGGAATCCGGTGGCGGGCCAAACAACTGCATTTCTGCTCCAAGGCAACAACATTACGCCAAATCGTCCAACATTACAACTTCCCGAAAATGTCATCAATTGCATCTCTATTCTGCTTCTTTTGTTTTATTTTAATCTTCTTCCGCTTCTGCCGGGCTGCCTCCTTCTCACCCTCATCCTCATCCAACTGTGTCAATGAGCTCTCCTGCCTAGACTTCTCTGTCATCCCCAGCTTTTGTCTTTCTCTGATAGCATCTGAAACAAAAGGACTTCTCTTCCTCTCATTCTTCCCTTTCTGCCCACTATCATCCCTTTTCTTCTTCTGTTTCCCTTTCTCCCCAAAAGCAGCAGGACCCGCTGTCAGTTCTGGGACATGTAACAATCTGTTCACCACCTCTCCAACATCAACACCAACATTCTCACTGCGATTGATAGAGATAGCAGGAATTGCAGTGGCTGCAGTGGCAATAGCTGACATTGAGTTGTTATCAGTGCTAGTGTTGGATTCCAGAGCAAGCAGATGAAATCCCTCGATATGTGCAACAGTCTTTGCAGCCTGTGCTAGAACTGCAAGAAGAACAACACCCAGGGCAGAGAATTGCATATCTACAAGAACAGTGGAGAAGGCACTGTGGCAGAGCATTAGTAATGAATAATTCCATTTTCAATTATGTATGAATGGAGGGAAATAAAATTCAGGAAACACAGAGGTGGTGGAAATGAGATTTAACAATGTGTGATAAAACAAGCTGTGCTCAAACCCATCCCTGGGAAAACAAGCAATCAATCGATCAGGTATGTTTGAAGCTAAGGATTCAAAAAAAAAAAAAAAAACTCTCCTTCACTTACACATAACACCGCGGCACAACAAAGACATGCAAATACCACATCCTCTTAAGAATCTGTGTCTGAAAGCTGCTGTCTTCATCATCATCATGAGCACTGTGCTCCTCCTTCCACTCCCATCTCTCAACATCTCTCATCAACTGTGCTATCGACCGCTTCAGCATTGCCAGCCATTTCCACCACTTTGTGCTGCCATGTTGGTTCTTGTTGCGGTGGTGGAGGAGGTGGAGGGTTGTGTGGATGGATTTGAGAGTTGAGGAAGGGGGGAGTTGTGATTTCTGATGGGTCGTGCGCAAAGTTTGCAAGGGCATGGCGGAATTATGGGGTCCCCGGCACTCGAACGCAGATATGACTTCCCAACTTCCTCAGGACAGACTCTTAAGTTTCCTTTTCCTTTCCCTTCCCCAGGCTGCATAATTCCTGTTGAACCAACGGATGATTCCGCGCCGTTCCAAGATTGGAAATCTCCGAGCTCTTTCCAAGGTTCCGGAACCCTCTGGAAGCAAATTCACGTGATAGCAATCTTATCTTATCTTATCAGCATGTGATTTGACGATGTCGTCCATGCTCCTTCCGAAGCCTGATAACTACTAGTACTAGTATCTAAATGCAGGGAGAAATTACGATAATTCTCGCCGTGGGCAAGTTGAAACTCGTTCCCACAAGTATTCCAAGGATCTCACAGATCATGTAGGAAGCTCCGTTTTTTCCCGCAAGTATCTTTGTTGATACTCTCTAGCATTAAGCTGAGTAATAATGAGGTCATGCCGAGTCTGTTCTTGTATTGCAGGAGATAACAGCATGTGTTTGGTCCGGGGACCGAAAGAAGTTGGAATGAAACCTTTTTACATAAAATGGAAGATGTTTCCCCCTCGTGAAAATACCATGCTCAGTAGGTGGGATGTTAAAAAAGAAAATTTTCACCGAACTGGCGAGCTTCGCGATCACCTACGAGCCCCATTTGCGCAAGAATGGGTTGGCTTTCTCCAGAATTTTGTCACATGCGTGTGACCAGTGATGTCCGGTTGCGGAGGTTGGCTATGAGCTCAGGAGTCTTGAGAGTGTCTAACCGCGCCTTTCGAACCATGTACGCCGAGACCCAGGCAGGTGTTCGCAATTATACTACTGATCCTGCGCCCCGGGGAAACGAAGAGCGCGTTGTCATCCTAGGCTCGGGATGGGGAGGATGGACGGTTTCTCGGAAGTTATCCCCTTCGAAATTCAACCGCACCATCATTTCCCCTCGTTCATACTTCGTCTTTACCCCTCTCCTCACCGACGCGGCTGTTGGGTCACTCAATTTCTCCGAGATTGTCGAGCCCGTTCGTGATCGGAAAAGCAATATCAATTTTATCCAAGCGGCCGCCCAAAGCGTAGACTTCCATCGGAAAGTGGTAACATGCGAGGCTTCTGTTGTTCAGAGTGGCGTGACGGAATCTGCTCGTGTGGAACAAGATCAGCCTGAGAAGCAGCGGAGGGCATGGGAGCAAGGTCAGCTCTTTGAAGTCCCGTATGATAAGTTGATTATCGCCGTGGGCTGCACCCCTCGAACCTTCAACACACCTGGTGTAAGAGATAATGCGTTATTCTTCAAAGACGTCGGCGATGCGAGGAAGGTTAAACGGCGTATCCGTGAATGTTTCGAGCTGGCGGCGATGCCAAGGGTGACTTCTCAGATGAGACGACATCTTCTGCGTTTTGCTATCGTCGGTGCAGGTCCCACCGGGACAGAGCTTTCTGCGTCCCTGTGTGACTTCATCCACGAAGATATGTTCAAAGTCTACCCGCAACTGAAGGGCGATGTTCGAATAATTTTATATGACGTAGCTCCTACAGTCCTTAGCACCTTTGATAAATCCCTATCTCGTTACGCAATGGAGACGCTGAAGAGGGAGGGCGTGACGATAAAAATGAACCGGCACATTGAAGAATTGCGCTGGGGAGAACCTAACACCGAAGGACTCCATGAAATGGATCCAAAAAGCTGCTTGACGCTTAGGACGAAGGAGGAAGGCGAAGAAGGGGTTGGTATGTGTGTCTGGGCGACAGGTAACGAAATTGGCCCATTCGTCAACAAAGCACTCAATACAATCGATCCATTTCCAATATTGTCTGCTCTCTCAAAGGAAACTGGAAGCCCTGTCACTGAACCCCAAATTACAACCTGGAAAGTGCATAAGACTCCTAAAGTTGGCGCCCTTCTCGTGGATAGCCACCTAAGATTGCAATTGAAATCAGCAGGGGGCCAAATCGCTGTCTTACAAGATGTCTTCGCCCTTGGGGATACCTGTATGTTAGAGTCTGGCTCCCCCCCAGCGACCGCTCAAGCGACAAGTCAAGAAGCCATCTGGCTGGCCAATGTACTCAATCGGGGTAATCTGGACCTGTCACCCGGTTTCTCGTTCAAGAATCTCGGAGTCCTTGCATATATTGGCAGTTCTAAAGCGTTGATGCAGTTGCCACATGAGGGCGGTAGTGAGCCGAACGACAATGGATTTTTTCGCGGTATAAAAGGCTACCCGGCATGGCTGATTTGGAAAGGAGCATACCTATCCATGAGCATGAGTTGGAGAAATCGGCTGAGGATATTACTCTCCTGGTTCTCGAATTGGTTGTTTGGGAGAGATGTGTCCAGGTACTAATTCGATTGCGCTACTGCACTCACACAAATGGGCCTATCCCTGTGCTTGCGGGTTCCCCACAGCCAGCTTTTGTATCTGGCTATAATTCCATTTAGACTGGATGATCCTTTCTTTCCCTTATCCTATTTCTAGATACCGTATTTCATAAGAAGTGAATGTAGCCAAAAGTCGGCATTTTGAAATTCATGGTAGAATGCAAACGGCCAGCTCGGCTATGAATTCTACCGAAAACCCCAATTTTTGCCAGTGTTGTTGGTTGGTTCGGCTACTTGCGATGGCTCTCTGGATAATAGATGGCTTTGGGAAACACTCACAGCCATGCATCCCCCTCTATACTTTTTAACCACCTCCGCATCCTTGACAACGACATTGCATTCCACCCCATACTTGAAAATACAAAAGGGGGGGAAATCTCAACGACGTGCACAAAATCTACACCCCACCGAAATATGTCTACCGAACCTGCATACAAAGCCATTGCTCGCAAGAAGCTTGAGCAGCTCGAATCGCGCATTCCCAAAGCATGGCGTCTCGAGGGCCAATGGATCCCAGCCGGTATGCTCTCAGCGGAAGAATCTGTCATGGTCACGGATAAATATGATTCGGTTAATGTGATGGATGTACCACGCAAATGTGGCCTGTTGAACGCAGAGGAGCTGGAGATTACAGAGAAATGGGACATTAAGGGATTATTGCAGCAGGTTGCTACCGGCGAGCTATCAGCTAGGGAGGTTTCTGAGGCATTTTGCAAGGTTTCTTTTCCTTTTTCTTTTCCTTTCCTTTTCCTTTCCGCTCTTGAATCTTTCTCGACTATATATTCCTCGCGGAAGCTTTCATTCATATCTATCCTGTATACATGTAAACGTAATTCCATATCGCCTTGACCAAGCGCAAATCCCACTCAATACGTATTCACCACAGAAAGTGGTAACATTCATCTCTTTGAAATATTATACATGTATACGATTTTAAATAACACATAGCTAACCGTCTCCAGCGCGCGGCAATCTGCCACCAACTCACCCGCTGCCTAACGGAGCCTCTATTCGAGCAAGCGCTGGATCGTGCCTCCGAACTTGATGCGCATTTCAAGCGCACGGGGGAAACTATGGGGCCTCTCCATGGTCTCCCTATTTCTGTCAAAGACACCTACGATATCAAAGGCATTGACTCTACTACTGGCTTAGCCTGTCTTGCATTTAAACCAGCCACGGAAAATTCACCCCTGGTGGACCTCTTGCTCAACCTAGGCGCCATAATCGTTGCGAAGACCAACATCCCTCAAACCCTCGGCGCGCTTGATAGCGTAAATAATCTCTTCGGCCGCACTCTGAACCCTCTAAACCGCAAACTAACACCGGGGGGTAGCTCTGGCGGCGAGGGAGTGCTCGTTGCCATGAGAGGTTCAATGATAGGCTTTGGTACTGACATCGGTGGCAGCATTCGCATCCCAGCAATGTGCCTTGGGATCTACGGCTTCAAACCAAGCACAGGACGCGTCCCGTTTGGTGGCCAAATGAGCGGCAGTGTGCCTGGTAAGACACGGGTTAACTTGCAACCTGTTGCCGGCCCAATTGCACGATCGATGTCAGATATAGACGTCGTGATGAGAGAAATTGTGCCGATAGCAGAGCTATATGGCGAAGATTGTATCCCTGGTCAATGGGGGGTTAGTGAGACACTTTCATTGACGAAACCGCGTAAATTCACCATTGGCGTCCTACCCTCCGACGGACGCATCCAACCTCTCCCGCCCATCGCTAACGTGCTGAACGAAGTAGCACAAGCCCTCCGCAAAGTCCCTGGAGTTGAGGTCGTCGAGGTGCCCATCCCCAAGGCGCTGGGTGATTGCCAACGCGTGGCAAACGAGCTTATGGGCCTGGACGGCGCTGGCCATATGGCTGATCTTCTAGAATCCACATCGGAGCCTCTCATTCCGTGGCTACAGACGAGGTTTAAGCGCGGCACACCAAAGACGCTTGCCCAGGCTTACGCGACTCAAGGGCGAAGGTCAGAAATAGAAAAGGAGATGATGAAGATGTGGACTTTGTCCCCTCCGTCCACTTCCGGTTTCCAATCTAGAGTCAGGAGAGTGGATGCGATCATCCACCCCATCGCCCCACACCCTATTCCTGAGCATGACCGTTACAACGCCGTCGGGTACACATCCAGCTGGGTCCTACTTGATTACGCCGCTGGAACAGTGCCGGTGCGGAAATTCACAGAAGCGGATCTCGAATTTGGGAAGGAGATGGATGGGAAGATCTTATCGAATTGGGACAAGAGGAATAGGGAGCTGTGTACGTTTCGTTTCTAGTTTTCCTTTCCTCCCTCCCCTTTCCCTTCTTGCTATTAACCACATGGCTTGTAAAACAGGGAACTCCAATACCGTTGACCGACGCGTCTACCTCGATTCGCCACTGAGCATCCAGGTCATCGCCCCCAGGCTTCATGAGTACACCTTGTTTGAGGCGATGTGCATCATTGATGGCGCAGTGCGGACTCAGCAAACCGGAAGCAGTGGACAGGGATCGAAGTTGTGATTTTTTTCCATTTACCCTCTGCTGACAGTCATGGAACATTGACTATAGTTGATTTTGTGTTTTAGAAACTGTATTATTCTGACATAGCACGCCCTAATATATATCTATACATATATATAGATAGAT